ATCTCATGTTGCTTACTTGATGATCATTCACCAATCTTCTTTAATTAATATCTCGACTATTATTGCGAATATCACAAAATGATATGGAACTTTTGTGTTCATCTGTGTCAATCTGCTCTACGTCTTCACGAGAGATTGTGAAAGTGATCTGGGACACCCTGTATAGCTCCTATATACCGCGATTGCTGCACCGATTGCAATTCTAATACGCTAGCGTGTTATCGAGAGCTGCTCAGAACTGGTCTGCGCCGTTTCCAACAGCAGCAAAATAGTTAGCCGATTTCAGCATTTGCATGTGTCGCGACGATCCTTGCTGCATACCAACGCGTTTCTTACGTAGGAGGTGAGCGCTAGTGATAACTATCCCTTGTCCTCTCGCGTTTGCTGGCCCGCGACAAGAAACTGTTTGCACGGAGGAACGCAAAAAGTACGCCGATTCTCGTGACAGCGACATAAATCTCGATCCGCACGAATAAACGCACGATCGACGATCCATACGTCTCCATCGGGTCGGATCAGTCGGGACAAAAGTGAAAATGCTATGTGGAGAACACGTTTGAATGTGTCAGACACATTTGATATGAGAACATAATTTTCAATTCCTTTGAATCAGTGTCAAATTATTTATAATCGCTTTGAGATGCAATATAAAATGATCTTAAATTTTGTTTAATTTCTTCATTTTTTAGATATATAGGCAATATATTTTTAAACCAGGGCGATGAGTCACAAAATCAATTCTTCTGTTGTGTAAAAGTAAAATTTGTTTGTAGTTGCATCAGCACGATTTACTACGACATCCTACGTATCTTTGATCATTGTCAGTGTTGATCTAAAATTTTGTATTTGCTAACAGAAATTCCTAAAGAAATTTCTAAGAAATATTCTATTGAACTTGTATAACTATGGAATTTTATTAGATAAATTTGTCAGTCAACTTAACAATAAGTCTATCTTCTGGACAAGCAACATCACGAATCACACAGATAAGAACATCCGATCAGACGAACAACGATCAGAGAAGCCGATCATTTTTGAGTACCTAAACGTGATAAGAAAAACGTGACTGATAAAAAACACAAGCGCCAAATTTCCTGACGATAAATAAATCATAAAAATAATTAAACTGGAATTTTCGTGTTATTTATGCGTTGAAAGTTGAGGTACACCTATCCAGAATATTCATTTAAAATTATCGTTAATCATACATTTGAAGAATTCAATGAACTAATCTTCGACTAATCTTTCGCCAGCGTTACAAAGTGACGACGTTTCACGGTAGCTGGTTGACTTCTGAAATAATAATCTCCCTTCACATCGCGTTGGGTAGTTGTTCTTCCCACGTTTACGACCAAATACGTTGGTAACCGGTGCAAAACAGATTTCCTCGTCGTGTATGCAGCAACCAAAAGTCGCCGCGCAGAGAAATAATATTACAATCAAGACTATGTTGTTGAATTACAGTAATAACTATCATTATAACTATTGCAATAATCAATTCTTCCGTTGTAGTGCAATTTGTCGCCTACTGCACTTGAATCTAGCACAGACGAAGGAATTTGACCTCATCGGTATACGAGAAAACAGATGATATCGCGTCGGATTAAAAGCGTGCGCGATAATAAGACGATAAGACTGATTGTGTACACGATATGGAGTCGCGATTGTCATATGAGTAATCTGACGTGTTGGTGTTCTGTGAACCTTCATAGTACTTCCTGCGTCTTCCTTGAATCTTGACGTATTGTGACAATATTTGCGCAATATGCGTATCGCAATAATCATCACCTGCTGATGTAATTGGCGCCGTACCGCCCATTTTTTCTATCTCCTTTTCGCGTCTGGCAATTCAGCAACGGGCATTGTCATCCCTGTCTGCCGAGGAAAATGCGTACGATCTATTCACGTACGTGCCAGAAATCGCGCCGGTCTCTGCAAATCGTCACTGTTATCTAACGTCAGCGGCCGTAGGTGGGGCGCGATAAAACAGTGCAGTGATGTGATCAACGTTGCACCGGTTGCGACGTCGTACGTTGAAGTCTCTGGTCCGTTGCGAACGGAGCAAAGTTTAAATCGCCACTTCGAGCTCGTCACGCCTTCCAAGCGGAGTTGGCGCGAAGATACACTCTTGAGAATGGTTACGTCAGCCCACCGAATTTCGCCGATTCATGCTTCACGCGTGCACGTGCTGACATCAATTAATAGGTGCTCGGGCGCAAGACTTCAACTCTAGGTCTCTTCGTGTTACCTGCACTTTCCGTACTTTTCGCGCTGAGAATAAGACAGACACATGTTCGGACGCTGAAAAAAGCAAGAGGAGATCGATTGCGAAAATTGCGAGCACCACGAACAAACCAATCTGCCTGTGAGCACGGTGCATTCCTGGGGGATCTCGCGGGAATTTTCAACGATCAGCATTTCGAAGTAAAGTAACTAACTAAAGTGCTAACTTTTATACGGCGAATTCCTATCCGTCGGCGGTGAGAGAAGCTTGGTTTTTTCACGGAACTGCCGACATGCATTTCAACGACAGTCTCAACACATCGATTAGTTTACTCGAAAATCTGTCGAGAAGTGATCGTTTCTTGATTGTGATTTCTTGTTCTTCTTTAATTTCCGACGTTGATTAACTTGATCATTGAGATTCAAATTGGAATCTTGTTAGGATAAAGTGCAGTGAGAAAATGACGTAAATAACAAGTACGAACAATTAACACTGATAATATCCGCGAAGGCGCTAACAGAAATGAGAACGCGGCCAGGAAGTTTGATAGAAGAAACCTTGGCGGCGAACAAAACGATTCCGGAAGTAATATCTCTCTTTGCAAACCATCGCGCTTCCGTTCGTAGACTTGATTGCGCCAGCACGAACGTGACACCCCGACATAACATTCGATCTCTTGGAACTTTGATATAGATCCTTGATATTATGCTACATTCGGAGTAAAAAAACATATCCATGACGCTACGTAAATCGATGCATAAGCAGATATATTAAACAACACAACATTCACTAATATTCTGTCAACTTCTCGCAAGTTAATCAGTGCCCAAAATAATCCCGAAGAATCTAATAGAGCAACGTTCACCGTGAACAACAGATGGAACGCCAGATGTTGCACAAGAGAGGTCAAGAAAAATCTCGAGTTACAATATTCCAGAAATGATGCATTTCTTACGAATTATAGTTTCAGTTCTGGAGACAAAGTTAAAAAAATGACGCTTTAACACCAAGATTAAGAATTGCTCTGCAATAGAAAACAAAGAATAAATAATTTTTGTGAAATAAAATTGAAGAATATTCGGATATAACTCAACGAAAGATAAAAATGTCGCGTTATATTATAATTATTCATACTAAATAACAATCCTCCCATCCTAATATAATTCTCCTTTACCCTAATATAATCTTTAGTTTCTCCGTTTTGATCATAATGTAGTATGTTGCATTGCTATAAAGAAAATTCAATGAAAATAACAAGAAGTAAATTGCGACAAGTAAATTCTGCTGTAAATTCAAAGTACATTACAAATAACGATATGCCTTCAATCACGCGTCAGGAAATCACTGACAAGCATTATCGCAGACACGTAATTCGCCGCGTAGATGGAGTCCCCCGAGATGTCCTTGTCATTCAATAACAAAGTCTGATTATTTTCAGGATAAGCCACAACATGAAGTTCCTGGCAGCCTGGCTGCTGACCATCTTACTGGTGGTTCTTGCCACCAGGACTGATGGCACGACTGCTACTACCTCGGAAGCAACCGGAACGCCTTCTTCATACAATGGAACAACCACAGCAAACGTTCGTAACACTGCTCGCCAGGGACTAAATACAACGATAGCCAGCGGACACACTCAGGCAACAACGGAGAACAAATTCATGGATTATCCTAGACCCTTCACCAACGTTAAGGACATACTGATGCAGGAGATCCGCGTCTTGGACAAAGATACTTCAGTCGAATCAGATTCTTCAGATTCTTCCGATTCTTCAGATGCTTCAGATGCTTTAGATGCTTCAGATGACAAGGTACGTGTATCCTTGTGGTAAAGCAATAACAGCTCTCTATGATTTTTCTAAATTTCTGCACACAGAAAAATGCATAGTGCACCGAAGTAAGCGTTACTCGTTTCAAGTATTTCACAAGCTTACATATCCGCAAATCTATCATAAGTTCATCATAGTTCATAGACATTAAATTTATTCAAAATGCAATTCCAGTAAGTTTAGTTTGTTCTTTTGAACAAATGATAATTCTCTAAAATTTATTATAAATATATTTTAAGACTATTTTAAGACTATCAAAAAAATATTCTTTGTTGAAGAGAACTATTGCTTAAAAGAAGGAAAATAAACTGAGTAATCGCTTTTCTTAGAAGTAAAATGATATTTTTCTCTATGCAACGAGATTAAATTTATTTTTGTTCTTTTTTGCAACAACGAAACAGTTTCCTTTGCAAATTTGCGATATTGTATACAACAATGTCGATTGAGTCGATGAATAATAATTTGTTACTTGCATCGCATTAAAATCGTCTACGTTACAAATTATAAATCACGCTTATAAATCCGTGTTAAATCAAATGCAATTAGAAAAAAAAGTCGGACATGACCGCGAGACGCGGCCAGTGGAATCGATTTTCAACGTGCCACTTAAGAGCCACGCTTAATTGTGACCAAAACCGCTTGTGTACAGATCCAGGAAGAGGTAGCGGAGACATTCAAGGCTGAGGCGCAAAGAGACCGTGCGGACTTAAATGTAAAAACGACCGTGAAGTCAAGCCAGCCGACGACGGATAAGCCGAACGTTGTAATAGAAACTGAGAAGCTAATAGAAACTGTGAAATTAAAGAAATTCGACGACATGCCCTACGAGGATGACCTCGACGAGTATGCCGACATAGACGGTGATGTGGACGACGAGGGTGAAGGGGACGCGATAGATGACGAAGAGGAGGTCATGATGGAGTGTCCCGATCATTGCAAATGCGCCGGTCAATATGCCGCTGCAATGACCGCAACGTATGTTTCAGCTTCTAATCAGATCATTATATAACTGAATAATGTCCCTTGATGCACAATATATGACACAAACGAAGAATTGATAGACCGTTTCCGGCTGTGAGAAAGCGCAGAATAATATGACATATTTTTTCTGCATTTACATAAAAGAGTTTTCTTTGCGTAATACGTGCTATTTTTGTCTTATCCGCCGCGAATATTTTTGATCTCTCCCACGTTATTACATAATATAAAGACATACTCGATAAAGTGGGATAATTAAAAAATTATAACCATCTGAGTGTAATTAGGGTGATTACTTTATCACATTACGGCGATTTTCTTGGTAGGCTATTCCAAGGTTATAGTAAGTTAATCTTGCCTGTAAGTAACGATCACATAATTATCAACTGTCGTATTTTCGCTATAAAATGACCAAATCTATAAATCTCAGAATAAACGTCATGACTCTAGAATTATTCTTATTCACACAAACATAAATATGTCATAAACAATTATAAATACATCAAGAAGACATCCGCGTGATATTAGCATAACTATCCAAATGAAGAAGCAAACTAATAAACTTGGTTATGAATTATGGTTCCTATAGAAATTAACAGGTTTGCTATCCTCCTCACAAGTGTGACGCAATAATCTCCCACATGAGACCAAAGTCACACATGCGTGACTCAATGATTTCCCATGTGAAACCAGCGTCACATATGTGTGACGGCAAACATTTTTTTCTATGTCCACATATCGTCAAACCAAATCTGTCTTGCACAATTACGTAAAAAAAGAAGAATACAAAGTGAGGAAAATTCTCTAAATAAACTACAGTAGCAAACATGTTCATTAATAATCTTACCTAATCTTAAAATACTAAATATTAAAAAGTTACGTGAACCTTGCACATCTTCTTTTGCTCATAACTTCTGGAAAAATTATCGAAATTAATATTTTCTTTCTTGTGCCAGGAAATCATTAAAGAATATACGATTCTATTATTATTTTTGTGATTCAACAAGATTAAAAAAAATTATAATAAAAAAACAAAATACGTTTTTAAGAACGTTTGAAAAGTTGGTTAAATTTTACTCAAGTTTAAAGTTCTAGAGAGTTAATTCTTATGACTGTCGTGGATATCAAAATAACACATTCTTTCCGTTGCAGATTTTTATTTTATCCTTCTCATCCGTAGATGCACCAAGCTGGTGGAAGATCAAACCTTCATGCCAGGTATCGCTCATTTGCGAATCGAGAATGCCGGAGAGATCCGGCTTGGGCCGAACGCGCTACGGGCACGCGGTCTTCAGCAATTGGAATCTATCACCATCGTCGACACACGCATAGTCGACTTGGATCGCACGGCCTTCAGCGGCATCACGTACTTGTTCGCCGTGAACCTGACGCGCAATGGTCTTCACGACATCCATCCGAACACTTTCCAGAACAACACGCAACTCAGCCTGCTCACGATCGCCGATAACCCGCTCAAGCACACACAAGACACGAAAGGAATGAAGCATTATTTGCTGAACGCGCCCTCCGTCACCGATTTCGACTTCTCGGACAACAGCCTGCTGCGGCTGAAACGCACTGCGTTCTCGAAAATGCAAAGCATCAATTACATCAGTCTCCGTGGCAACTGGCTGAGGGAGATCGAGCCCGCGACCTTCGACCTGTTGAAGTCACTCGTAGAAGTCGACCTCTCGGATAATTTACTAGACGACCTCCCGTCCAATCTCTTCGATGGCACAATGGTGGAGACTCTTCGTATCTCCGGTAAGAACGACGGTTGCATATCGAGGCCGGATTTAAATTAATGGGAGATTTACGCGAAAAAACATTTTCAATTCGTGTGACTGAATAAGCACCAGATGAAAAACACGCTGACGACAAATGATATTTCTGTTACTCTGACTGAAAACATTTGTTTGAATGCTCAGCTGTATTAAAACTCAGTTGAAATTTGAGGACGATTGATTGACAAGTAAACCTACCTAAAAATTATACTCCGATTTCTTTCTAATTTAGTACAAATATAGAAGTACAAAAAATATTTAGGTCATATTTTTTATTTTGGCCTATTTTGAGTTTCACGGGCAGCTTATAGCTTATAGCTTGTTCTCACTTCTATTACCAACAAGTGCAAAAAAATGCATAAGAAATAAAATTTAATACAAAATATAAGCGTTTTTGGTCCACTGATCACGAATATAAAGTCAAATGTGTAAAATTATTTATATAAATAAAAGTAAATATAAAATGTTTATACAAAACATGTAAAAAGTTGAAAAAATTATTTATATAAATAATTTCTCGGTTTAGCCGAGATTTGAACCATTTTTTACAAATTTAGCACAGATTTGAAATATTTCGATTGAAATCTAGACTAAAGAAATTTAGAATGGTTTATGTCTCAGCTATGCCGATTTTGTTGAAATTACTTGTATAAATAATAAAATGTTTAAACAAAACATATAAAAATTAAAAAAATTATTTATACAAATAATTTCTCGGTTTGACCAAGATTCGAACCATTTTTTATTAATTTAGCACAGATTTGAAATATTTCGGTTGGAATCTCGGCTAAAAAAATTTAGAATGGTTCGTGTTTCAACTATGTCGATTTTGTTAAAATTATTTAACTATATCTTGTATTCAATTTTATTTCTTATTCATTTTTGTTGTACTTGTTGATGATAAGAGTGAGAAGATTAAAAAGCTATAAACTACCCGTGAAACTCAAAGTAAGTCAAAATGAAAAAATATAACCTAAATATTTTTTGTACTTCGATATTTGTACCAAATTAAAAAGATATCGGAGTGTATCTTTTGGGTAGGTTTACTTGTGAGTAGAAACTATTCCTGTATTACAGAAAACTTTGTTGTTACAACCGAGTTTTTGTCCAGTAACTAACAAAAAACTCAGTTGTAATAACGAAATTATTCTTTTCTTGTAAATAGCCAAAGGAGGTTTTTACGATTAAAAAAAGATAGATTTTTATGCATAAAACAATGATAAATAATGTAAGGAAAACCTTATATTGATATTTCTATTAATTTTTCTGAAAAAAAAATCATAAAAATCTCCTATCTTTCTGTCTATCTAAACCAGAATCTCCTTTTAAATCTCCTTTTAAAAAGAAGTTACGTGAAACGCGTCATCAGCTAGGTGTAGAACTAATTAATACAGAAAATAATTTATTTAGGAAACAATCTGTCGACGTTAGCCATGATAAGTGCCTCGAAATTGACGTCGCTCGATGCCTCGAAAAATAGAATCAGGACGATCGCTAAGGAGGATTTGGACGGCGTACCGGAGTTGGATCAATTGTTCATCATGTCGAACAATTTAAAGAGGATCCACCCGCATGCTTTCAGCCACCTCGATCAATTATCGCACGTCGATATCAGCGATAATAATATCTCCTCGCTGACAGAGCATCATTTCAGAACTAATCAAAGACTGCAAGTCCTGCTGATGAACGACAATCCCGTTTTACAAGTTTTGCCAGTTTTCAGAACCTCCGGCTTGATATACAATACGTTCAGGTAATGTCTCAACTTAACGTTGCATTAAGAAGATAGGCGTAAAAGATATTTTTCAAGTAACAATTTTTTCATGTAACAATTATCGTTTCCCAAAAGCATTTTCCGCTTCGAGTGCGCGAATTGCGGTCTGAAGAACATTCAACCAGGAACATTCGACGAAATGCCAGCACTGAATCGGCTGAATTTGGCGCGGAATCAACTGACAGGTTTGCCCAGCGGACTCCTGAAGGAACTTTCGTCTCTTCGAGAGCTGGACCTTTCCGACAATATGATCTCGATTATCCAACCCGACATGTTCAAAGGTGCTACAAGCCTGAGCAAGCTCAATCTCGCTGGCAATCCGTTGAGAACATTACAAGTAACGCCTTTCCTGAAGACCCCGATGCTCTTTAAGCTGGATGTGAGTCGATGCAGTCTCGAACGAGTGTGGAGCGAAGCCAGGGTGCCATTGAGGACTCTTCGGTAAGAATCGTGTTGTCAATTTAAAGAAGATTCGCTAGATATCGAATACTTAAGGAAACATTGAGATCTTTGACCGACAAGAATTAGTATCCTAGTCTTAATCTTTTGTTGACTAACAAAAGAATCTTTCTAAAGAAGAAAATTGTTGAAGAGACATTTTTCATGAAGTGTTTCATACTTGCTCCTCTTTTCAGATTCCTGTCGGTTCGCGACAACCTTCTACGACGATTTACCGTGGAGGAGCTCAAAGCTACGCCGAAACTCACTGGTCTCGATTTGTCGCACAATCCTATGGATTGTGACGATGAATTCAACGAAGCTATTCAATGGCTCACCGATCGCGGTATCAGTCCGACGGAATTAACCAGGTAGATTATTTCTCGTTTTTTTCCAAGTTGCATGCGTATCATGTAAAACAGAGATTTCTTTTAACGTTTTACGATTACTTATAGGTACTACAATGACTTCGCCACTAAAAAAGACGATTCATCGGGCATCAGTGAGTGGACAGATCTGGCGAAGACAGTTTGCGATGGAATAGAGGACGGCCCACCTCCCAGACAGTTCCCTGGCAAGAGCGAGCAGTTTGATGTTCTGCTGAATATTGATCATGAAGACACCGAGACATCTCTATTGAGACATGAGCTCGACCAAGCTGAGGTAAGATCACAACACGCACAGGAAAGCGAGATTTTCTCCTTCGCAATTTGAGACGCGCGTCTATAAGCCAAAAAAACATTTGGCCAATGCAATAGAAACAAAAAAATATTAACATATTGACTGCCATGGTGATCACTAGTGGCTGTCAAATAAACATCAACTAACATCAAGTAACATTATATCAATGTCATAATTTCCTATTCAATATAACTGTTATATAACACACGCGCTATATTGCATTTACATTGTTGAATGAGAAATTATAACACTGATGAATGAGAGATTAAAATTTCCGGAAATAAAACGATAAATTCAGATAAAATCACGTAGAGTGTTACAATGAAATTGTATATATTTCTTTCAATCGGATTTAAGCAGAGAACGAATATATGCATTCTGAATTGTATTTATTTTTTTACATCTGTGGGAATTCAAACTTGAACTGAACATTGAAATAATCAATTGATATTAGCGCGGCAATTAACGTGTTAGAGATATTTTGTCTCACTCTTCTATAACACGAATTTTAAATATGATGATACCTCTACGTCTTAATGACGTCGTCGTGTTCTTGCCAGTCTTGAAAATTAAAGCATAATTGAAACAACGACGTAATAACACACCGATCGCGTTTGTTACACACAGAAGCTCTTGAAGCTGGACATGGAACATGGCATGCGACAGGCCGAGGATCCTCGACTGCTGGAAGATCAGACGTACGATGAAGAGTTCATTCCTACAGAATATCACACCAAGCGCAGCAACGGTGGTTTATGGATGGCCCTCACGATCATTCTCCTCACTTTGGCCGTCCTGATGTTGGCAGCGCACGTCGCTTTTTGCTTGGCGAAGAGGCGAGGACGATCTCCTGTCCTGAGGCCGCCTATGATCCTTCGCCAGGGTCTGGTCGACAACAAGAATTGCGGTTTGGTATACAAACCTCTGCAGGAAGAAATAGCGACGCCGCACATGCCGAAACGCGGCAGCTTCTATTCGAGCAGCACTTTCCATTACGACAAAATCGTGCCAGAGAGTGTATAGAACCTCGATTAATTAATTAATTGTAGCAGGTGACCGATGATTGGTCGTGACACGAGTCACTGGAGACTTCTCGTGACTTTTGCAAATTGAGAGAAATTCGTTAGACTGCTAGTGAATGAATTACAAGGCCAATTGGTCATTTTGAGAAGATGTGTATTACTGTTTTCAATTAAAACGATTAAGCAGCCTCTTTTTTATTAGATCACGATATACTGATCTTATCAACAAATATTTTTTCATTCTTTATATAGAAAAGATATCAAAGATATCAAAAGAGAAATGAATAAGAACATTAAAATAATTATAAGCATTTAATTCGAGCTCGTAGAAACGCATGTAAATCGTCAGAGAGAATGTGCGTGTCTCTTGATTTTTAAGACTTTCGTTTTCGAAAGATCTACACAAGCAATGCGATTAATATATGTTTATTTTTATTATTAACATAAATTTTCATAATATAACAATAAAATACTAGCATGTGTTATAAAAATAGATTTCCGATAAATTTGAACCAAGTACTTATTGTTAATCAACTTGAAGCTTATCGCTACGAATAAGCAGCAGGTGATAAATTTCGAGGCGTAAAGTAAGGAAAAGCAGTACTGTGTCCGGAGTTAAATTTAATCGAATAAAGAGATCAATTTAAGCAAACTTACGATAATATTAATATCGTGGAAATTGGGCAAAACCATGTTAGTAGATAACCGGTGATGGAGAAATGAGAGAATCACGTATGATAGATGTGAAATTTCCAACGGAGACTGGTTTGTTAGTACGCTATCTCTGATATAGTAATATATGTAAACAGTACAAGTAAGTCAATAGTTTTTAATTACGGTGACAACCTCACTCGACGAAAATACGAAAAACTTATGTTAGAAACTAACATATTCTAAAATAAAAATGTTGCGTTTCTCCGCACGATTTATTATATGCATATATCATATATTGTGTAAATACGATAAATATGTTTTAATAAAATTTTAATTAAAACAAAGTAGAGTTTGATTTCTGCTGTAATTAAATCTTCTGTGTATTTGCTGTAGAAATCTTGATTGACAACATTAGAGGCAACGAAATGCATGCCTAAAATTGCAAAATACGATGTAATAAAAATATATATCCAAAGAATAACACTTGCAATCGATTAACCATGTATAAAATGCTCCAAACATTTTGCTTTTGCTCTAATAATCGATAAACAACCGTAAAATTAACGCGATAACTTTCTTTTTTAATATCTCTTTTCTCGTAACTACGTGATATTAATTTTATCTACTTATTGATATCTATTTATTGATTGTTAAAGCAAAAGGGGAATGTTCAGAATGTTTTAAAAATTTGCTTAATCGATTAAGTGCAATTCTTTGGATATATCCTTTTATCTCAACGTACTTTGCTGAAACTATGGGCATATATTTCCTCATTTCGATGTCATCAATCAAGATGGCCGCAATGATAAGCCAAGGACCTTGAGAAAAATTTTCTCAAGCATGTATTATCAGAAAATTTTATCAAGAATTTTCTCAAGCATGTATTACCAGAAAATTTTATCAAAAATTTTCTCAAGCATGTATTATCAGAAAATTTTCTCAAGCATGTATTATCAGAACTTTGAATTTCGAAAAAATGTAATAAAATCAGTTTATCCAGAAAACACAATTATATTACATTTCGAATAATTCATCAATTCAATCCGAATTTCAAAGTGAGAACGAATAATATACACTTGGTTTTAAAACGTTTCGAACAATTTCATCGTGATGCAATTTAGGACGCAGCTGATGATAATTTCCCAGACACTATGAGCTAAAACGATGCATAAGATGACTTTAAGATGCCTTTTAGTCATCTTTATGATGCATCTCTTAAAGGTATCATAAACATAACTAAAAGACATCTCAAAGTTATTTTATGCGCGACATTTTTAGAGCTCGTGCTGTCTGGGTTGTTTTTAATTAATTCCTAAAGGTTAAGTTCTCTCATTGGTTGCGTTACAAACTGTATCGAGAAGAAAGTATTCAAACCGTATTGAGGCGCAGTGTACATTAGTATATCTATAGAGATGGATGACGTAGAACCCAATTAAATAACTTCTATCATAACAAGTATCAATGTGATAATCTTATGCAAAATAAGAACGGTCGATAAAAATAGGACAGAATAGCTCTTCTACATTATAGCCTTCTACGTTATAGCCTTCTACGTTATAGCATAAACAAGATCTATAAGCCACTTGTTATTGAATAATTCCATAGGTAAATAGAACGAAAATATTGTTGCAGAGTTCGTACACATTTAGTGAACATCACTCTTCAAGTGAATAATATTTCGCTTGTTATTACGTGCAAAACACCTACATGATCATTTAAAAAAAGCTTAGCTATCTCCAAATTCAATTTAAAAATGTTAATTTCAAAGTTGTGCGGGACGTTTAAAAAGCACTGCATTTAATGTTTAAGCTGTGCAGATTTGAAGAGTGAAATTTCTTTCTTTCCTCTTTACCACATGTGTCATAGTAAGTAGGCACTTTGTAGAATTCCATTGGTACAGCCCTGTCTATGCACGAATATCAACGCATATAACGGAGTCACCTCATCACAGGCTTAACTGGTAAACACGTTTAGTAAAAGGAGGGGAACTACGAGTCGCCAATATCAAGTCGTGAGCGTAGCACGACGACTCGTGAAGAACAACGTTGCCACGCACATTCCATTAAAAACTGTGCTTTAATTTACTCTAATCTGTTTAAACAATCGCGCTGAAAATCACTTATAAGATGTTACCGAGACGACGTGTTATTGATCTTCTGCAAGTCATTTCATCTCAATCGTAAGTATACTACTGTCTATTAAAAATATAAAAATATATTCTTCTGAAAAAAAAATATAAAGTAGTGATACCGCGTTCAATAAAAGTCAAGGAGTATTTTTATCGGATATTACATATCGTTGATAAACACAATTAGTCATTTCTAAAAATATATTATATTTTTACTTGTCTTACTAATGGCTTTAATATGGTCACCAATAGCTATGATATAATGAAATACCATCCTCTCTTATTTAGTTAAAACAATAAAGATAACCTCCGTCGACATTTTAAAAGTGTTACATAAGCTAATATGGAAAATGTGAAGATGGAAGATAATAATATCAGTGGCAATCTGTCAGAAAAACCTACACGTGCAACGTTTATTGCAGCTGATTACTCGATACCGATACATGATAACACATTTTTCGCTGCAAAGGCTAAAAATCTATTTTGTGATAAATGTAAAATATGATAATTTCTCGAGTAAAACTATGCCGACTTGCATTTGTAGATGCAGATGTCCAGCACACGGAAATCCCGGGGCAACCAGTGTTCACGAACACGGGAAAGCTCGGAGCACCGCGGCAAATGTCGTACCTGATAAAGAATATGCTTTTGAGGTAAAATTATCAAGAAAATTCGTGTAGAACAAGAGATCGCGTGGTGTCGCGCACGATAATGCGTCGATTCGATCATAGACCGCGCGATTATCAAATCAAAAGCAGCATATGCTATGTCCAGATAAGAATTGAAAAAATAATAAAAATGAAAATAAAATAAATGATAATATTTGCTGAAGCGTTAATCTGATGATAATAATCTGAATGTTGTATCGGACCACATCAAAGCCGGCAACTAGCGAGATTGTCTTCATAATTATTTTTCGCACAAAAGTCCATATAATTTAAAAATATAATACATACTTATTTGTATTGATATTTCTTGTGTATTATTTATTTTTTTATAATACTTGAATTTAATAAAAACCCGAAAAATCGAACATTAATTTTCTCATTATAAACGCATACCAAAATTGCACACAAAAAAATACATATGCATTCAAATAAATATTATTTGTTTCAATAAATATTCCATAAGTTTATATATTCGCAAACCTATCATAAGTTTATCATAAATAACAAATTTATTCAAAATATATTCTGAATTTTAGCAAATTTAGTGTTTCATTAAAAAAAATTATAAATTAAAACAAAAATCCAGTACTTACTACATTGGACCGACTTTTTTTTCGTAATGCTTTATAATATTCTTATATTAAAAATGAATTCTTCTTTTGAGTACATCATAATGAGCCTTTCTAAAATTTCTAATAAATATATTTTAAGGTTATTATCAAGAAAATATTTTTTATTGAAAATAACCATTATTTAAAAGAAAAAAATAAACTGGGTAATCGCTTTCCTTAGCAGTAGAATAATATTTTTTGTGTGTGTAAGTCTATAAAATATCGTTAGAGAGCGATTTCTTAATTTTTGTCATTATATTTATTCGTTTGTTGCAAATAACATTGTTTCAGATGGCTTGTTCCACGGTCAGATATGGGGTGGGAGTAACGAGAGAATTAGGAATGGATATTCAAAATTTGCGAGCGAAGAAAACATGCCTGATGACCGATCCTAATTTGATGAAACTAGCACCCGTAAAAACTGCTATTGACAGTCTCTCCAAGCATGGCATTGATTTTGAGATTTACGATAAAGTACGCGTGGAACCAACTGAGCAAAGTTTGCAGGACTCGATCGAGTTTGCCAAGCGCGGAAAGTTCGACGTTTTCGTAGCGGTACGTGTGCAAAAAGTTTTTATTCTCTACCATACGACAAACGATAATTACGATGTTACAAAAGATTTAAAAGAATTAAGACTTTTTACAAATAATAAAAAAATATATTCAAATGTTGGAAACAATAAAATATTTAACACGTGTAACTGTTGAGTGGAACTCGCGAAGATCTACACTGTAAAAACTGATGTGTTAAATTTAATACATCTCATGTGTCCCAAATCATCCACTCTCATTTATGTATAAATTTAACACAAAACAAATGTGTTAAAAATAATGTGTTAATACACATAATATGGAAAAAATTAATACAAGAATTTAACACTTGAATATCGTTAGGAATTACAGATTATGTTAAATTGACATATTTAATATGTCAGACTATAGATTAGATTATTAGATATAGATTATATTAATTTAACATTTTCACTTCATCAAAACCATAGATTAATATTTCCCTCAAATGTTAAAGTAACGTTTCATTTTAGTTAATTTAACATTATACATATGTCAATTTAACACAAACTGTGATTCCTGATGGTATTAAAGTGTTAAATTTTTGTGTTAATTTTTTACATATTATGTGTGTTACTTTTTACCACATTTGTTTTATGTTAAATTTATATAAATGAGAGTGGATGATTTGGGACATATAAAATGTTAAATTTAACACATCAGTTTTTACAAGGTATGTTTTTATTCAATCGAAAAGAAATTAATTCTTTAAACTCCGCATAGATGAAGAAAATCAATATTTTCTGTAGAATAAGTTGGTAAATTATGAATTCGGATATTCAGGTTGGCGGTGGTTCCGTGATGGATACCTGCAAGGCGGCAAATTTATACACTTGCGACCCAGACGCCGAATTCTTGGATTATGTAAACGCGCCGATCGGAAAAGGAAAACCAATCCAGGTACCTTTAAAACCGCTCATCGCCGTTCCAACGACTTCAGGTACCGGCTCCGAAACAACTGGCGTATCCATTTTCGACTACCGACCATTGAAGGCCAAAACTGGGATTGCAAACAGGTAATATTGGCCGCGTCATCAATTACAATATCGTTTAATACGAGCAGACTTTCGAAAATTTAACGATGGACTTGTTACAGAGCCCTACGTCCAACTTTAGGAATCATCGACCCTCAACACACTCTTACTTTACCGGAGAAAGTATGTGCTTATTCAGGTTTCGATGTACTGTGTCATGCACTGGAATCCTTCACAGCGATACCCTACACCGAAAGGTCGCCATGCCCCACAAATCCAATCCTAAGACCAGCCTATCAAGGCAGCAATCCTGTCAGTGATGTTTGGGCGCGATATGCCCTACAAGTTATGCGCAAGTAACGAGTGAACCAATTGCTTGTACAAAATGTTTTGAAATCTGCACCTTTACTTTAAACCACGGATTCTTAGGACTAATTTGAATGAATATTAAATAGATTTCGTATCAAGCTAAAAGTAATCATGAAATTATGTAATATTAAGAAATGGAATCTTGCGGATCAGATTTCAAAAAGAAGTAAACACTTTACTTTCGATAAGCTTGAATTTGTTACGAATTAAATTTAACATTAAAATTGTAAAAGCTTCGAAAAATAGCAAGTTCCCATATTCATTGAGCAGAAAAGTTCACTCTAATATTTTATCTTTTTCAAGGAAAGTGTGCACATTTTTAAAACATTCTTCATGTTAGGGAAAACATGTGTAGAGATATATAAAATCTATGACACTCGGTTCATTTTTGCGCAGATATTTTCAACGAGCAGTTTACAATCAAGATGATTTAGAAGCGAGGAGCCACATGCATTTAGCGAGTACTATGGCAGGTGTTGGTTTTGGAAATGCCGGAGTCCATCTTTGCCATGGTCTCTCGTATCCTATCAGTGGAAACGTTCGAACTTTCCAACCGGAGGTAATTACAAATGCGCCAATTTGTAACAAATAATATATTTTAATTTTTATACGCGAAATTAATTTCTGACTGAACATCAACATCGACAAATTATTATTTCGGCGTTAAAGTAACTTATGAGAACACAATTGAGAATTTTTAATCAATAATCGGATATTATTATCTCTGTCTGTCTGTCTCTCTCTCTTAAAAAATAATATTTAATAGTATTTAAATTTTCTACTCAAACATATTTGTCGAATAATTTGCCTATTTTGTTTAAGGGATATAGTAAAGATCATCCTATTGTTCCTCACGGTCTATCTGTGGTGATTTCCGCACCAGCGGTGTTTTCCTTCACGGGGAATGCATGCCCGGAAAGACACTTGGAGGCTGCGGAGTTGCTTGGTACAGACGTGAAAAATGCCAAACGAGCGGACGCCGGCATAATTCTGGCCGACACAGTTAAAGAATACATGCAAATTATGAAAGTCGAGAACGGTTTGACAGAGCTAGGTTTCAAGAAAGAAGACATTCCTACACTAGTTAAGGGAACATTGCCTCAGGTAAATAATGTATTCAATAACCGACATATTCATCATCAAGTAAAAATTAATTTAAAAAATTTTTAAAAATTGATTAAAATAAATTAATAAAAAAAATGTTTCCAGCATCGTATTACGAAATTGGCGCCACGCGAGCAATCTGAAGAGGATCTCGCACAATTATTCGAAAATTCGTTCACCATATATTAATAAACGCTTTATAATAAAGTTAAGTTTTGATAAAGCATTTATGTGTATATAAACTAGATGATTGTTACAAATAGAGATTCTATTTTTTTACATTAAGCAGAAATAGATCTATGAGAAAGCACAACAAATGTATTTTAAAATGTATTTTATCTAACTTACTTTGTTATCTTGATAAAACTTCAAATTATTAAACAAAAATAAATAATTTCACTAAATTCGTACACATAGTATAATTAATTCTATAATTTGTTTTATGTAATTTTATTTGAAAAATTCTGTTTGATGTATTGTAATAAAACTTCGATTATAACACACCAACGTTATAATAATAATGCAATATGGTCAGTTGTTTGTTAGAACTGTGTGTAATGAGGAGTGCTTATCCTCTTCGTGAAACATGTACGACTGATTTTGATAACGATTTAATTTAATAATTAGATTTAAAAAATTACAAGTGATTAATTACAATTAATTTCATTCACTGTTTTCCGCGAAAATTCCGACAAACGCCTATAAGCTTCTAAATGACGAGAAGACTTCTATTCTGGAGAAAACTCTGTTTTGTGAACGTCGTGAATATAATATCCCTTGTTCGTTTTACATTTTCTATCGTTTAAAATTAGCCAGTCGCTTTACTGTGTGCACACGTGTAGAAATAGCGTGTGGTCCAATGCGCTGTACCGTACATACCACAGACGGGTTTTTAACATTCATATGCAAGAAGATGCAAAGCTGGGGGTAATTGAGAAAAAAAGTGCCCGCGATCTTTCCCATGTGTGCGCATTTATCTGCATATATGTATCGCGTATCAAAAGTGTAATGCAATTATAATAAATTCTGAATTCTCTAAAAATTATATGTAGAATATGTACCTCTACCCTAAAACTATGTGTGTATGCGCTTATAACTATACATAGTCATAAAGATAAACGATATTATCGACTTTCAGATTCAACGTGAAAAATGTATTTTACGCTGAATAGATCTTGCGAACACACAAACTCATTCCTGTGTCTCTAATCCCTTGTCCACAACCTTGCTTTAATTCTTAAGCCATAAGAAATTGATCAACCACAGTTGATTATTTTTAAAATAATCGACTGTGGTTGGTCAATTTATTACGGCTTAAAGATTAAAGCACACAAGGGGTTAAGGGGCGTCTACATTGGAAGTAAGTAGTAAGAAGTAGGAAGTAAGAGTAAGAAATTGACCAATCACAGTTGAATGTGAGAAGAATAATCAACTATGATTGATCAATTTCTTATTCTTACTTCCTACTTTTTACTGCTTACTTCCAATATAGACGCCCCTTTAAGCTAGTGGCACACAGGAAAACTTAAGCAGTAAAATGTAAGCAGCAAGCAAATTGACCAATCATAGTCGCTGATTTTTCTTACGGTCCAAGAATCAACGACTGTGATTGGTCAATTTGCTTACTGCCTTACGTCTTAGTAAGTTTTTCTGTATGCCACGGCCCTAACTTGACAAATAACAAAACCGTAACGTATGCAACTTCTCTGAAGAAAGTTTCGCAATAAGCTTCGCGCTGTTTATCGTTTGAATCACGCGAAGAAGGTTGGATAGCGCTATCATTTTTTAATAAGAATTGATAAATATTATCGAAACGGTGATCGAGTCATGGCAGTCGTAGGAATTAACGGATTCGGAAGAATAGGGAGAATGTGTCTTCGCGCTTGTCTGGAGAAGCGCATTGAAGTAAGTTTCCGGTGTTAACGAGATTTGAATGCGATATCACATTGATCGAAAACTAAATGACAAATTAATAAATATCACAGGTAAGATTAATCAACGACCCGTTCCTTTCAACGGAATACATGATATATCTTTTTAAACATGACTCTACGCACGGACCGTATCCTCTATCTTTGGAGTGCGAGGACGAGTACATAGTTAGTGGTGGTAAATATTTAATTTGCATACTCAAATATAAATAAAATTTTTAATCAAACTATATAAAGTACAAGTTAAAAAAAAAGATATTAAAATCGCGCTTGTAAAATAGTCCTTACAGTTGCTACAAACATTCTCCCGCCGAGATCAATTTCAAACTTTGTTCAAACTGGGAAACGTTATTTTGTAATTGTTTTCGACAACTTTTCATTTTGCCTAATATTTAAGTGCACATAATTTCGATGCCGCTAATGCTTTATGCAATAAAAAATCATGAACGTATTTTTTATTGGATCGCTCGATGAGAGACAAGAATTGCAACGTCGCAAGAAAGACAACCGCGGAAAATACCATGGAAAAGCATGGGAGTGACGTACGTTATTGAAGCAAGCGGGGCATTTACGACTTTAGAGAAAGCAAGCGTAAGGAAATAACTTAATATCTTTCTTTATGTACTCACCGACAGAAGCAGGATCCATGTTAGGTCCACCAGTAAACATTCGCTCGTCAGAGAGAAATCCTGAAATAGAAACCAGATTTTCTTTTATTTTTTTCATTCAAGATATTGCTAAAACGTTACCAAGTATCGTTTTTATTAAATTTTTCGAAAGATTTCTCTGTATATAATCAAAGCAGTTCTTGATCTCCAATAGAACGTCTAGTCACATACTCAAAAAAATAAATTGCACGATAAGCTTTTAACGCCACGACGAAACGATGCGTCCTGCAGCTACACATTGATGGCGGCGCGAAGAGAGTAATTATCACCGCGCCGTCCGTGGACGCGCCAATGTTGGTTTTCGGAGCGAATCACACGTGTTACAATCCGAAGAAAGACGGAGTTGTGTCCGCCACGTCTTGTACTACGAACTGCGCGGCTCCAATCGTCAAGATCATGCACGACAACTTCGAGGTTCTCGAGGCGATGATAACCAGCATACACGCGGTGACAGCTTCGCAAAACACTGTGGACGGCCCGATAGAGAAGGTTGCACGACCACGAGGACACCAATGTGTCTCCCTAAATATTTTTTCTGTGAATCCCAGACATTTTTCTGCGTTTCTTTTCTTTCCTTTGCTTGATCCAATCAGTTGTATCGTGAAAATGAATGGCATCGTGGCGTGAGCTTACGTGTGATTTCGCTCCAGCAAATGATCGTTGTCCTTATTAAACTTTCATTCATCCGCGCGATTATATTTCGCCGCAGCTCCGGCCTACCACGTTATGGAGAGACGGCAGAGGCGCGCTCCAGAATATCATTCCGACCGCAACCGGCGCCGCCAAGTCATTAGCCAAAATTATCCCTGAACTCAAGGGCAAGATTTCAGCCATAGCGTTCAGGGTACCGATCCCCAACGTCTCATTATGCGACATGACATTCAGGTAATTGGCGGATGCAGACTCGCCATGGGTTCACCGAACAACTGACCCGTAAGATCCGGCATGGCTGGTATCGGTTTCATTAATCATGAAATGAACTAAATTTTATATATATAGAGAATTTTATATATATAGAGAACAGTGCAGTTTTCTCAGTCTCAAACATACTCGAATAAGACTCTGGATTAGACATTCATATTTAGATTTTATAGTAGATAATTCACAATGTCCTCTCAGACAGCATAAACTTTTAAAAGATGTCTTAGGAAGAACTTCTAGTTTAAATAGTCAAAAACTCATCTTTTTTTAAAGAAATATATAAAGATATGATCTTATGATCATACTTATTTATCATTGTTTCAAGTATAAAAAATATTTTTTATTTAAAAATTTGAAATTTCGTTGTCTTATTTTTCGACTATATAAATCAAAACCTCCTCTAAAGACATTCAAGAGATGTTCTATTTTCCTACATGTCTTTCAGACATCTTTTTTAAAAGTTTGCGCTATCTAGACTTGTACATAACGTCACAGACGCGTCTAATGTCCGCAATGAAACCGCTCTGCAGAGTTAATAAACCTACAACGTACGAAGAGGTGAAGGAGGCGATGAAAAAAGCAGCAAATGGGCATCTGAGAGATGTGCTGGGATACACGGAGGACGATTGCGTGTCATCAGATTTCAACCACACGACCTATTCTTGCGTGTTCGACGCCAAAGCAGGCATTCCACAGACCAGCACTTTTATTAAGATCGTTGCTTGGTAATAATGCCGACGGTGTCATCATAAAGCTCAATTTATAAGTTTCAATATGCAAACTGACATTTTATGCGCCAATCTTAACCCTTCCGCAGATTTTCCTGACAGGTCTGACTTTTCCACAGGTACGACAATGAGTACGGCTATTCACATCGTATAGCCGATCTAATACAATACATGTACAACGCCGATTCCGGTAATGTTCCTGTAACCGGACAAACTATCGAACACGATGACGATTAACGACTATGAAAATCTTGAATAACGAATACATTTTCTACTTGTATACAGCGAGTAAATGAATTTAATAACATTACTTAACCATGTATTCAAGATCATGTATTTTTCCAGAAATTTTCCTGTGAATTATTTTCAGATACATAAAAGGTAAAAGTATCAATTTCCAGACACGTATCTAACACGTTCTCATAGTTTTGATTTTATAAAATATTAATATTTAAACTTCCAATATATGATATACCTGAACAATATAAAATATCCCAAAATCATCCTGAATGTGTTCAGGATGTTCTGGGGAGTGTTCTAAGGTGTATGTGTTCTAAGTTGGGATGAAATATACTTGCTTCAATCTAGCTTATTGCATCAGTTCAAGAAATTTTTCGAAAAAGGACAGACCTGATAAAATAATGTCCAGGATTAGATGCGTATCCGGATACTGGTGCGTTTATCTTACTTCATACGTGACATATTTACCTGTTGATCAAAATCCCTCGCGAGTCCACATCAGCGTCCACGAGAAGCAGCGAGTAACGAGTTCGAGGTTATGACAAACCGTTTCACTCTGGACATGCTCGTGATGTGCTCAAAAGTTCCTCCTCCCAAAGCCGTGCGAGTCATAACGTAGGACACATCACGATGCGTTCGAGGAACGTCGGCTGTGACGAATTCGTCTCCAAATAGATGCGGGAGATCGATGTGGCCGAAGGGACTCCGCGCTCGCCAGCGCGCCGGTTCGACTTGAAGTTCGCGGCGCGTTAACACGTCGATAATCGAACGCGTCACGTGACGCGCCGGGCGCTCGCGACGACGCACGAAGCGCGACGGTCACGCCGCATCCTTCGCGAACGTGCGCCGCTTATATCAGCGCTCCGTGCCCTTCAAATGACACTACTTCGTTAGTAACCACGGCGGACGAAGCAGGTTTTTCTCGCGGTAAGTAACAACGTTCTCCTCTCGCACTGACACACGCATGCCATTCTCGCGAATAAAGCCGCGTTTGTGAGTCGTCGCCGCGAGTAATCCGGTCCGGTCGTTCACATCGTCGTTCTCTCGCGTTCTCGTACGTGCAAAATCATTGGTCCAATTCGACGGATGCCGCACACCGCCATTCCTATGACGTCGGCCGGCCTCACGCGATAACGGAAATCCATCCGGGATCCTTGTGTTCCTACGAGGAACATCCGAGAGACATGAGTGATGATGTGATGATCTGCACGGATTCGGCTCGTTCCATGGTAATTCCGGACCGTCCCACCGAACGAGTCGAGGCGGCTTTGTTCGCCTCTCCGCTCCTCACGTCTAGCCGCCCATCGTGATTCCGGTATGAACCCGGTGTCCAGATGACAATCGTTAAACGGTCCATACGCGATCAATATTGTTGCACAAGGATTGCGCCTAATAATAGTGAGGTGATGCTCGACCGTATCGCGGTGTAAGGGCTCGTCCACAATACGCGAAGTAAGCTCGACGTAGGTTGGAGTGAGAAGTAAAAATAATTTATTTCGATTACATATATACTCTGACTCCTTCACACACAGGAAATATTTCTCTTGAAAGAACATCTGATGTAAGAGAGAGAGAGAGAGAGAGAGTTGGAGTATAAAAGTGTGAGTGAAATAAGTTATTTTTATATACTCCAACCTTTACGCCAAGCTTACTCTACATATTGTAGACGAGCCTTAAGTCTATTGACAGGATACTGTTCGTCGTGTAAGGTATAATTTGGATGTTGAGATTACATACATCGAGTGTATAATTTTAGTATCGCATCACGAGTAGATTATTGAAAATCCTGTGCCGCCATTGCGTTTTTAATATTCGATTTCTTGATGTAGTGAAGATTTAATAATTACTTATTTAATAATTATAAAATATTACGATTGTTATTCGATCGTTTGTAAAGTACCTATTTCCTATGACGATCTATAAAAAAATAGTGCATAAAAAATCCGATAAGAATTGATAGAAATTTATCTCTGTTCAAATTTCATTGAAATATAATTTTATTTAAAATTATTATTTCTGTCGGAAATTTCAATTTCTCGTATTTCAGTTCATGTAAAAAAGTTATTAGTTTCTTTCGTTTTATTGCGCAATTTATTTTGGACGATTAAGTATTACATTAAGCTATTAAAGTATTAATTATCTGAATACACACGCCTTTTATGTAATTTTACTATTCTTTTTTTTTACTAAAAACAATTCCATTATGTAGATTTTTCTTATGTAATTCTATCAGATCTGTTAAGCAGAACACTTATCTAATCCATTAGTTTCATCACGCACGTGACGTTGATCGCTCGCATTTCGAATCTTTTAAAGCGGACGTAATGAGATCTGCTTTTTAAAATAGATGAGATTTCGCGATGGTTTCGAGGTATCTCATGAAGTTGCTGTAAAAACAAAACACGTTTCCGATCGATACAGCAGAGGCTGTATGGACCGGTTTGTGCCGGCCGCAAAATTAAACGAGGAAATGCCGTTATTGCGGTTCTCAGACGGAAAATTTACTGCGATATAATTCTAGCTGCAAGAATAGCTCGCGTTTCTCTCACGGTAAATTCAGTCGCACAAGTTGTAACGCATTCTCTCTTCATTCATTTGTCCGCCGACTGGGAATCGACGGTGGTTACGTCAGATCGAAATACGATTGCATTAATGCCGGTCTCAGATGCTGATTAACGTCAGCCTTTTTTATCGTACGATGGCCGATAATCCCGCGAATACGAGGTCACGATCGTCCCCAAGGACATTGACGTCCAAGAACTTGGACACACCCGCTTTAACCTTGCTTGACCTCCAAGATTTGTCCGGCCAATCGGATGTCCAACATCGTTGAGACATGCCAAGATGTTGCCGCCACAGCTGCTCTCGAAGATAAACCTGACTAGAGAACCGTTTATGTCACATCCATCCAATATTACGCAAGCGGCATTTACGATGTGTCTGGGAACGTATCTCCGCGATAGCTTCGTTACAATTATAAACCGGGCGTATATTTAACGATACATGTCGATAAGAATTCGTCCATTTAACAGTCATTCCGATTCAGCCGTGAAAATTGTACCGGTATAATGAAACAGAAGAGACCGCTTTTGCAGCTGTTGTAGAATTGAAAATGAAAATTAATCTGATCAGTGTGTATTCAGCTCTTACTGAAAGGTATCTTTGAAATAAAAAAAGTAATTGGTATCACAAGTGAGAAGTGAGAACATCCATGATTAATCGCGGTTGCCTATAATAAATCGCGCATCTATCATACTCTAACCTAAAGTCCAATAACGAGGCTTATTACACAATGAGATTCGTGCACCTGTATCACGTGATTGCGCCAGTTCCTCTAATCACGGTAGCGCGGAAAATACATGGCCATTACACTGCATCTCATAATGTTCTCATTTATCGATCTTCCAGTTGCAATCAAAAAGACGACATGAGCAAGATCGGAATCAACGGATTTGGCCGCATCGGCCGCCTCGTGCTGAGGGCTTCCTTGGAGCGCGGTGGTCAGGTATGTTGGAGAATTGAAGTCGCGAATCTACCAGATCCACGTTTTCACCATCCATTGATTGATCTTCTAATTTTGCCGACAGGTCGTCGCCATCAATGATCCCTTCATCGGTCTCGATTACATGGTCTACATGTTTAAATACGACTCCACCCATGGTAAGTTCAAGGGAGAAGTCAAGGCTGAGGATGGCTGCCTAGTCGTCAACGGAAAGAAGATCGCCGTCTACAGCGAACGCGAACCTAAGGCGATTCCATGGGCAAAAGCTGGCGCTGAGTACATCGTCGAGTCGACCGGCGTGTTCACAACCATTGAAAAGGCATCTGTACGTGATCTCATGATTATTTAGCGTCTGATTCATCGATTTGCCGCGAAACTTCATGACATTTCGTCTTGATGCAGGCTCACTTAGAAGGCGGCGCCAAGAAGGTCATCATCTCCGCTCCGTCGGCCGATGCGCCCATGTTCGTCGTCGGTGTGAACTTGGAAGCTTACGATCCGAGCTGCAAAGTAGTCTCCAATGCCTCCTGCACCACCAACTGCTTGGCACCTCTTGCCAAAGTAATTCATGACAACTTCGAGATCGTCGAAGGCCTCATGACTACTGTACACGCGATTACGGCCACTCAGAAAACCGTCGACGGACCTTCTGGCAAGGTGCGTATTGTATTAGGTTACTGTAAAAGATTTCTTGTTTTTCTATTAAATTCTCTTGGGAAGTTTAGGTATTAGAAGAGAAATAGAACGTCCTTGATAGACATCTAAAAGAATACCGGTGTTGTTAATCCTTTTGTACCAAGCTAATATTATGTCTCTAGCAGAGAGCGAAGTTACGAAAGTGAAATCACTGTTGTCATTGTAATAACACTTTTTATTGTTATTTCTTTCACAGCTGTGGCGTGACGGCCGTGGCGCAGCGCAAAACATCATTCCCGCTGCGACTGGCGCTGCGAAAGCAGTCGGCAAGGTTATTCCAGCACTCAACGGAAAGCTCACCGGCATGGCCTTCCGCGTACCCGTGCACAACGTATCCGTGGTCGACCTGACGGTGCGACTCGCCAAGCCCGCTACTTACGATGCTATCAAGGCCAAAGTGAAGGAAGCTGCTGCCGGCCCTCTGAAAGGCATCCTGGGCTATACCGAGGACGACGTGGTCTCGTCCGATTTCATCGGCGACAATCACTCTAGTATCTTCGACGCCAAGGCTGGCATATCTCTCAACGATAACTTCGTCAAGTTAATTTCGTGGTATGACAATGAATTCGGTTACTCCAGCCGAGTCATTGATCTGATCAAGTACATGCAGGGCAAGGACTAAAGGTCCTCAGAAATCGATTATTCACTCATGTCCTGGCTAGTTCTGCGATCTCGTTGTACGGTTAAACAGTTATGCGGGCATATCACTGTTGTATAAAAAAAAACACCCCGTATTAATCAACATTGTTAATTTGTAGCAGAAATGTACACAAAGTATGGGGTGTAATACATTCTTTCTCGCGCACTCGATACGGTCGTAACTGAATTAATGTTTTGGTCGTCGATTGGAACGAGAGACGAACTCTAGCGTTTATCCATACCTAAAAGTCCGCATATATTTGACTTGTGTCGGAATTAACTGGTCAACGAACCATAAATGTAAATGTGAACGTTGTAACGTAAATGTTAATGCGACGGAATCTATATAATCGCGAAGTTTGTGTTCGTAGCGGAGAAACAAGTTTACGATTTCATTCACTATAAACATAATGAATGCCGATTTCTGATGATTACGCGTACGCGCAGATCTTTCAGTACTGATGTCCTGTTGTGATAGGGATAGTGACACGCGCATATATATCACTTTTCACTTTTTTTTCATTCGTTCATTCATACTAGAGAGAAACCTCAGAAGTATTCGTAATTGAACATACGATTACCATTATTTTTCATTCATACAATGACATCAATAAAAGTTGTTATGAAACTAAAGTAGTTCCTTTATTCATGTTCGACAGACACTTTTGCATTTCTACATCATTACACTTTTTTACAGGACCGCAGACAAGAAATTGGAGATAATTCTGATATAAGCATTGACTTTATATAATTTTTACACCGTATATATCTATACAATTACAAAAAAGTCTTCTTCATCGAATACTCGTTGATCTTCAAGCTTTCAATGTCCTATGATGTTTGACAGGAAAACACCGTCGTGAAATCTCAATATATAATATGACGGCAGTATAAACTTTAAAATTTCGCTTTATATGGCACAAGGAGTTATTATTTTAGTAACAATGGTTGCTTGGCAATCTGTTCTGCTATCTGCAAAATGAAGTAAAAATATTCCAGAACGTGATGTTTACATTAATCACGAATCAATATATGTTCGATTGGATAGAAAAAGCGATTTGAAGATGTGAAACGCTGAGATTAATATAGATCTAAGCCAGAAAATCTGAATCTTACAAGGGAGCAAAAATGAAAATCGAAAGGTCAATGTTGAAGCAATTTGTACATGTTCATTGTGAAGCTATACGTTGAGCAATCGCTAATCACTATTAGCTACATAAATAGCTAGAAGCACTCCTGCCCACAGATCATTGCGTTGACCTGGTTTTGCTAATGTGATGTGCCTGGTAGGTCTATATTCTTCTCACGCTTCAAATAGTCTGCATCCCAACTATAGTAGTTACTTTTTTTAATCTACAATAATAGAAATCGATATATATATATATATATGATATTTGATGATTTCGAAAAACTGATACACCAAAATCGACGTATTCAACGTAAATCGATTCTTTAAGAGGGAAGCGTTATTATACCTCTAGATAAATTTATTTTCGAAGTATTCTGTTCCTGCAGATTCCACATTTTTCTCGTATATCTTTCATTAACATTTAACAGGTATCTCATAGGTACTCTCGTTATCACGAAGTAAATATAACATTATAACAGTCCAGATTATCCCGTTTCTCAATTATGTTTTCTTTTTTTGTGAAAATATTACACAGTTATACGAAAATACAGTTCGATTTTGTTGCAAACAATAAATATCTATCGTTCGTCTTTACAATATGCAGTTAATTCGAAGTTTATAGTGAACATATACATTTTTGCCCGCTCACAGTGAACGTATAACTTCCAAGATTCATCGATATACAAATGATTACGGGATATATCTTGATATTTTTTTTTTTTTTTTTTATAAAATTATCAATTTTTTATACACAAAACAACAGTCAGATGGTTCTCAACTATCGACATTAAAATGGAGTAATAACATGACAGATGCACTTATATGGCGCATATATAGAAATACGTATAAACTTTCGCAGTGATACAGAAGTTAAACGATAAACAAGTCAATCGCAGGGAATTTGATAACATAAATTTCGTCGAATATGTCGTCCAATTCTTCTTTACATATAAATGTAAACACAGTAGTTCGTTAATTTAACAATTCGCAAGCACTTATAAATTGTATGCCATCAGTATAGAGATCATGATCAGTTTTGTACACGATTGATAATTGATATACTATAGACATTCTTTTCCTTTCATCCTAACGTAAAATGCCTATATACGTAGTGTCTTTTTTTTGTAAATTTCGTCCCCTGCTGCATCCGTCCGTCTACAATGATTATTATAAGTATGAATGAATACTTCGTTGGAAATAGAGGAATTCTAGACTAGCATAACATGTTAAATACATATGTTTACAATGAGTCGAGGATACATGACACCTCATAACTTCGATCGAATGAATGATAAATGAGTAACAATCACATCAAGTCAAGAGTAGGAGTTTCGCACGCAGGTTTATGCGTTCTTGGAGCGCGCTGGCTAATTCTCGTGTCAGTTCTTCACAGACTAGGCGTAGTTCCGCATTCTTTTCCCTCAATTCTTGCAACGTTAATTTCTTCTCGTCTTCCGATTCGTCCTTACTATCGTCTTCGCCGCCGTCTCGTTCTGGTAAAATCACATTTTGAAACATTATCCCGAATGTCTAAGTTCGGATACAAATTCAGTCTTTGATCAAGTCTTTTATCAATTGAAGAAATGAAGAAAACATGCCTCGTAAGTAAAAGAAATTTCTTACTTGGACTGGGTTTCCTATAAATATGAAACGCTCCACAAACTCCAGTGAATTGTTGAGATTGCGGCAACGTATTCTCTACAGATGGATTTTCAGGCAGTTCATTCTTGGGAGAGAAATGAGAGAAATCGGCGACGAAACCGTGACTTTCGCTCATTGTTCTTTGACCCTCACCTTCGCTTCTTTGACCGACCAATTTACGTGGGGAAGTCTGCAGCAAAAATACACCATTATGTATAATTTTCGTCTCAGAAAGTAGCTTCAAATGATGTGTTACTTCATAAGATTTGTAAGTAATGTGATAAAACTCTTTTCTGAAAGAATAAAAACGTGATTTTCATTATACACAAAGAACTTACAATTCCTGGCGAAATTCTAGGTGGTACCAATGGCGGCGCTCCAAGGAAACTTTGACCGTTTTTCCCTACAAGAATATACATACAATTTGTAACATGAGACTAGTTCTATTGTCGCGAAACAGTTGTGCTACAGATTTCAAGATTATATTCACATGGAAAAACAAGTTATCTACATATTTTTTACGTTACACACACATATATGTGTGTGTGTGTATAACGTAGGAAATACGTAATCAGTTTACACACACACACACACACACACACACACACACACAAAGTCGTTTTGCATGTAGATAAAGTAAATTATGTAGAATGTTACAAATTATATTAAAATATACAAAAAAAGAGTAATATAATTGAAACAATAACTGTTTTGGATATTAATTATTTTAAATGTAACATTTAAAAAAGAAGAATTGTCGATTATTCTTGTGATAATCGATTATGATTATCCAATTCTTACAGCTTACTCTGCATATTGTAAACGAAGCCCTAAAAGAAAATTAAAACTTTCTTCATTTTTGAGCAAGCCATACGTTCTTCAAACGGCATCCGTGGGTTACTCATTGTCTACATAGGTGAGACTCGTATATAGTTTACGTTATCTACATGAAAACGTAAAGTACTAAATCGCCAATCCTGTCGTGAAGTATCAATAAATACAGACATGTACCTAATTTATTAAGATCAAGACTAGAACTGCGCGCGTGTGTTCTGTAAGGTCTGGGCGGCGGTGGCGGCGGAGGTTCTTTTTTGGGAGTAACGATAACAGCATCTTCGGGTGCCGCGGGTGGTTTCTTCGTGAGCGGTCGTTGCACCAACGACGCCGCGGAATGTTGCAGGTCGTCTTCTCCCAAGGTGGTGCAGCTGCTGCTGCTGCCGTTAGCGCCGGAGGCGAGAATCGCCGCCTCGGGCGTTAAGCGCAGCGGTACCGGGTGCAAAATCTTCGGGTCTCGCTCGACCGCCGACTTCTGGAAATCGAAATTCACTAGCTGCAATCCCGGGCTGGTGACCGAACTGCTCGTGCCGGTTGGTGAGTCTACAAACTTTGTCCACTCCTTATTCTTCTCGCGAGTGTTCGCGCCAGAGGTCGGCGATGATTTCTGAGCCGTTGTCGTCGGCGGGATTTGTGGTACGGCAGTAGCTGTTTGCATGACTAACGGGATCGACAAGGACGGAGGTAAAACGTCGGGTAGAGGAACATGGTTCCTCCTCAATACTACGAGATGCATCGCCACGTAGAACTCCTGCAAACTGAGCGCCCCGTCCCTAGTGACGTCTGCGAGCTGCCAGATGCGCCTCAACTCAGCCACGGGAAGTCGCGACTTCTCGAAGAACGTTCTGGCCACGGGCCCCGCTAAAAGACCTTCCGGATCGGGCTGCAGCTGCGCGAATTGCGCGGCGTAATAATCACGTTGCTCATCACTGATAATCCACACTTCCTCTGGCGGAAAACCCGAGCCATCCCCGTCTCCTTCTCCCTCGTCGCTGCTGTGACGTTCCGAGCTCTCCTCTTCTGTGCCCAACAGTTGTCTCTGCTCTTCAGAGACCAGCAGACCCTGCCAGCCTCCAGAAACGGAATCCAATATCGTCTCTCCACCTAATATGCCGTCATTCCTCTCTTGAGTCACACTGTTCGTTGGTGTGGGTGAATCTGTGCTACCACCAGTCTCACGTGGAGATTCAGCTTCGCTTTCACTCTCTGTGGTACTTTCTGGAACATGACACCTGCCCTTTGTGCCCCTAATCGAGTCTGAACTTCTCCTGCCATCCTCGTCACCAAAGGACGGCCATGTAAATCTTGGCAAGGTAAGAACATCCAGAGATGCAGTCAGCATATCTGTACAGATCTCGAGACCAGCTTGATGAGCAGCGATGAGCTTCAGTGCTCCATAGAATTGCTTCTTACCCAGGTGTGTGTTGCCTTTGGGTCCAATGCAAATATCCAATATCTAGAAATTGAAATAACAACTCATCATTAACATACTCCTTATACCTAAGCTGAGGAATAACATTACTATCACAATACATATACATTATGCAATATTATAATACATTCTAAGATATTAGAATACATTACAATATTGTAATACATTATTGGAATTTAGTCCAAACACTACATACTGTAACATAATACTGCATTCAGCAGAGAAAGCTATTTTGCAACTGTTGTGAAATTCATGAATATGATTGGTATACAATCTTAATCTTAGCTGAACCTAAGAACATGTATTAATCAGGTTCACAAATTTTGCACAAGAAGTGCAAAGCAGCTCTCACTGCTAAACACAGTCATTGTAATACAACATTACAAGTTACTTTTTGCCACTCTTTTTGCCACTGGTCACTCTTTGCCAGGCTACTTTCTTGTTTATTCCGATTTTTCGCAAGAACAAACAATGAGGAAAATAAGTTACTTTCACAAAGTGACTCTCCCAATCCTGCATATGTACGTGAACTCTGACTCAAGTTACTCCCCGACCGGTGGATTAATCAGTTCAGCTGCTCTGTGTGTGCGACATAACCTCCATAATTAGACCCAACATGCTAATCTCATCTACACGCATTCCATGTCGACGTCACGGAGTAAAAGGTGGCTCGACCGTGCACCGCCTAGGTGGACTCTATCGCGGCTATCGGGGGAGCTAAGCGAGAGAAACGTCAACAACAGAAAAGCACATCCAAGTGTATGAACTCCAGGTTCCACCTTCATCGTGATGTCCCGCGACAAATTGGCAAAACGCAGCAAATCGGCGAGCTTGATGACGGGCACGCTGTCGCTGTCCGCGTTCTCACAGCAATATATGAATATGTCGCCGTAGTAGCGGTGCTCGGTCGCGGTCAGGTGCAGGCTCGCCACCGTTACCAGATCCCAATCCATCCTGATAGTTCGGCTCCGATTCGAGAGTGCGTTCCGGCCGCGTTCCGTTAACGTCCCCGGGTCGCCTTTTTTTCCTCGTCCGCCGGCTGATCGTTCTGCTCGTCCGCTTGTCCGCTCCGCTCGCGATCGCGACACGGTCTGCTTCACGATGCGATCACGATCGCTTGCAGTCACATAGTCGCGCGTGACGCCGACACGGGGATCGCGGTTCCACGGCAACGCTAGAAACGTCGTTTATAAATTACACCCCGTGCACGATTATCGGGTGATCGCTATCTCCGGCTGACTGACTGACTGACTGGCTGATTGGCTGCTGCTCGCTGGCTGGCGCGATGTTTGACATTACCATAATCCATGTCGGCTAACTCGTCGTATCGTACGTGCGTGTAACTCCGGTCACGTGCTCGGGCAACGTCTCAGCGGGAAACTCGAATTGAATTTTACCAGTGAGATAGTGGGTCTGTTCGTTTTTTAAGAACTTCTGCAATAAGTTAGTTTGAAACAAGTATACTTCCTTTCACTCTAATATATTGTACTAATTCAAAAGTTCTTCGAAAACAAACAAACCTTAAAGACATTTTTCTATAAAGTTTACGTCGGATGGTTGCACAGAATAACAAATGCTCTTATACAATAAAAATACAAAACAAATTAGAGCATTAGTCATGTGACAAAGGCAACAAATTTAAAAATTTAACATTTCAAGTTATAAAAATTCGATTGATACCAAAATTCTGCAATTTGTACATACTGAACGGGTGTTACTTCAACAAACTCAACCCAAAAATTACAAACGACCTTTTCGACGACTGTACAAGAAATGAGTAGTGTAATCGTGTTAGTATTTATCTTACAAGACGTTGTGACGATTGCCTTTACAATCAACATTTTCGAAATTCGTCACTCACTTTGATATTCTCTTAATCGCCTTTTTGATACGAATAAATTCTTGACCTTTATTCAATTTGGAGGAAAGTTGACTTGAGCAGAATTTTAATAAAAAATGCTTATTCATATCGAAATATACGAAAGTATTAAAAAAATATTAAAAGAATTAAGTCACTTTGAATATTCGCGGATTGACTTTCAATTTGCCTGTAGATAAATCAGATTCTAAATAACATAAATAGGATCGCAATTCAAATACAAGTAATGGATTAATATATTTCATGATTCGTATTACTCTGATCTAACGACACTTCAACAGGAGCCATCGAAGTTAAAAGATCGAAATGTTTCAATAGCCGTAACAATAAACGTGAAAATTACATTATCGTTGATGCTTCTTACTATTGCACGATATTTTCTTCTGTAGGAACAAATTCAATAGCCAGTCGATACTCTTGCGCGTTTAGTACAGTTCTTTTTTCGCAACAATATCGTTATTCTACATAGCTTAGAGATGTTGTAAATTAGAATAGCGGGAAAACATGTGAGCGCTTTTCAAAATTAATGAAATCATTGGGAATTCCCATTTCCTTGAAACTCGAGACGGGAAGTCCCGCGAAGATATCGAACGATGGTATCGATCTTTGAGAGAATGAAAAAAGAAACGCTTACGATATTAATCATATAAAATGGTTCGTGACTAGAAGAGATTATTACATACAATGCTTCATCGATGCAAATCAATGGTAATGCTAATTGCGTTAGCAGAGAATATGATTCGATCAGCTGATTTGGATGTTCTCGTTTCGACGAGACATGTGTCAGTGGAGTGAAATATTCTCCTCCGCAATGCTCAACGAAGTAGTACTCTTTTTCATGTTGTCGCAACGCCCTGTCATCAATTTCTGTCCGGAGGTCTTACATCGCACTTGTACCGTTGCGTCTTCCCTCGGACTACCGGTAATGATGTTACCTAAATCCCAATTACTAAAATGTTCCTCGAATAAGTCCTCCAGCTTCTTCGAGAACACCTCGATTTTCCTTGTTCGTTCGTCGTCATGCTGTAACGAAGTGGTCTTCAGAATTTCAAATTTCAAAGATTATTTATTTGCAAAAAGAGAAGAAAATGAAAGGAATTGTTAACAAAATTCGTGTCTTCTAAAATTAATTTTTATCTTACGGAATTGAAGTTTTATCTCAAGATAAGATTGGCCTCCGCGAATAGAATATTTAATAGTAAAATTTGAATAGAATATCAAGAAAAATTATAAAACGCGATAACGAACCTGATTATACGATCTCGCGTTTTGAATAATATGACGGAAATCTTTCACAGCGTATTCGACCTTGTGGTAAATTCGGTTCTTTAGCTTGTAATCGATGATCTCGAGAAACATCGGACTCTTAACGGTCTTGCAGTAATTCTCGATCTGCAAAGCCCAGAAAAATATTGTTACTGAACCTTATCCCAAAAAATAAACGGTATCATTTGCATTTTTGCTCGGTCTGACTTCCGGTTTGGTGTGGCATGAATTTGTTTTCAGACGTTTTTATTACGTTTTAATTTGTTGCATATAACAAAAGTCTATCTTCCAGAAAATCAATCCATTTGTTTTAGATTACTTACGAACTGTAATATTATTCACCAAGATGTTATTCCGGCGATACTACGCTTGGTACTAAAAACTTAAACAAATTTCAATTTTTTAATGAGAAAATAATTTTTTGCATTTAAAACAAAAATAAATAGTTATGATTAAAACTCTATCCCAGGCAACACACAATATTTATAAAATATTTTTAAAATATAGGTATTAAATATTTTATAAACATTCACATGTCCGAAATTTCCAGGTATAAAAAAAATTATAATAAATATTTTAAAATATTTATGAAAGATTTATGATAAATATTTTTCATAAATATTTTTAAATATTTATCATAATCTTTTTCATACCTGAAAATCTTGGACATTAGAATATTTATAAAATATTGAATATCTATATTTTTAAAATATTTTGTAAATATTATGTGCTGTCTAGGATATTAATATATTAATTTATTTATTTCTTCGAAAAAAAATTTGTAAAAACCTATTTTTTCGGTTATCTAAATCAAAATCTCCCTTTAAGGGGAAGCCAGACCGAATATTTCTCCAGACCGCGAAGTTTAAACTACTAATTTACATCTTTTATTTGGAAGTTATCCATTCCTGCGGCTGCAAGTTGACCATCCTTATTGCCACACGAAATTGGATACTTAAAAATTTTAGCTTCGTCCATTTTCCAAACAATCTGATAAATCATTTCCAGTTTGCTGAGTGCCAGAGGACTGAGACTCTGTTTTCTTCTGGAACTGTACCACACTGACCAGCCACGATCGCCTGATTTATTGGCGCACTTTGAAGAGCCCCCCGAGTGTTCCAAATCCTTCTTCTTCCCAAAGGTCTTTATGGTGCTCGATGATGTTGACGTTGCGTTCTTTGACTTGGCGTTGCCGAATTTCGCGCATGATCCTTCCTCTAACTGGATATCGCTGCTGTCCACATTTTCCACTGATTTTTTGTCAGTTGATCTTTGCGATTTGTGCAGAAGCTGGTAAGATTGTTCAGGGTCTTTCCTTTGACACTTCCGGCCGGGAATCGGTATCATAGTACCACAAGCCACCGATGCATTGCTCGCTTTGTACGACTCTTTCCTGCTCAAATGTGCGTTGTCCGATCTAATGGATCTCCGCACCGTTTCCGAGTACGTGGCTCTTCCAACAAGACCTTCCGATTCCTTCGCTGACGTTTCGTCGTTTATTGAGGAAGAATGTGGGATGTGTTCGCGAGAGAAGATTGCTGGGTATTCGTCATCAATGATCGTTGCCGGAATCTTTGAATCCGTATCCGCAGTCGATAACGATGCACCTTGATTTGACTTTACATTCGCGATTACTGAGCTGCTTGAAGATTCAGAACTCCCTCGATCTGCACTGTCCTTACGTTGTTTCTGCTTGCCGATACTCGCGTTATTGAGAGTCCTTATTAACCAGGAGTCCGTCTTCACGTTGGTTTTTGCACTGAGAGCTATTGAACATGCTTTTTAGAAAAGTATTGTCTTACTTATTACTCGGTATCACCTGCAAAAAGATCACGACATAATTTTAAGTAGTCAAATCTAAATTTTAGGCTCCTGACTACTCGCCGCGGCCATCTTGATTATATTATTATAAGCCAGAAAAAACATATGCTCAAAATTCCTACAAGATACTTTGAAATAAAATGATGTATGTCCTTGAAATGACACTTGCAATCTGTAAAATAATCCCACAATTTTGTTTTTACTTTAATAAATAAATATGTAAACTTAACATGACATATTCATGAGAAAAAAGGTTAAATATATTACATATTACATTAATTTTGTGGTAAGAAGAATCTTTTAATTAACTTCACAACTAAAACTGTGAATAAATATCACTGATCGCGAGGAAAACTAGATTTTTAAGTGTTAATAATTATATAAGGGAAGGGGGAAGGACGTCAATATTAAGATATTTTATCCTATAAAATATCTTTGTAATTTATGATTTATCATTTTCGCATAAGTTGTTTCATAAAATTACACAAAATATATTGTTTCACGAAATTATAACAACATAAAAATATCACCGTTACATTTTGTCTAGAAAATCCGAAATTATTTATTACACAACTCAATATATCGCATATCAAATGGACTCGAAAATGAATCGCGATATCTAACATCGATACCTTTGCTATTCTCGTTGTCGCACGACTGCGGCACTGACATGACACTCGTGCTGGCTGACAGTCTACACGTGGAGCCAGAATCGTCTTCCGAGGCTTCGTAGGACGAGGCACAGTCGACGTCGCTACGCTTCGTCAATTTCGGATCGCGCTGCTGTGACGTCAATGGTAATACATCAGCATTGTCTTCGTTCTTATCGTCTTTCTCGGTGCTGGAATCGCGATCGATCTTCTTGGACGTATTGGCGCAGTCCTTGACATTGAGTGCCTCGAGAAGTATCTCGGCCGAGGCGCAGGCTGCCTTCCACGTGACGTCCCGATGGGCATCCTGAGATAGAAATTCCGTGCGTTTCAGGATTCTGGGTGAATTCTCGAGATTGAAAAGAGGAGCAGGCAGCTGCGAAGCCGATGGAAACGAGCTCCTGATCAGCGTGGTGTTGTTGACGGGCAAAGTGAGCGTGCTTAGATGCGACAGAGGCGTCGATGACGCGGGTATCGATACACTCTTCGACTTGTTACTACACACGTTACGATGATTGCTCGTGTGCACGTTGCGTGACGTCACGTTATTGTCTGATCGACGATTGGGTCTCCTCTGATGCCGTTTTTTCGGTACATTGTAGCTGCCTGGTTTCATGTACACCCGCACGTCCTCCGAACTGTCGTACTCCTCGGGCACGTGTTGCTGCCGTGGACGGCCGCTGATGAAGCTGCCGGCAGCCCAGGGTGTGCTCTGAATGTTCGGCAAGTTCTGCAGCGCCTGGAACTGCCGATTCGCATCCAGCTGCGATTGCTTGTACACAATCGACGAGTACTTGGACGGTTCCTGTTTAGCGAACAATCGCTGCGTCGCGTTCTCGTTCATCTTCGTCTGCTCGAAGGCCGACACGGCCGTTGGAAGCTGCGCGTTCCGCATGCTGGCGAACCAGGCTGACAGATTGGCCGCCATCTCCTTGGACTCTTTATCGAGTGTCCTCGGCTCGATCTGACTGAGCAGGGTCACCTTGTTCCTAGGCACTGCTGGGAGCCCGATCTGGTCGACTTGCGACTTGCCGACGTAAACGGGATTGGCAGTCGCGTTTTTGATCCCGCAAAGCTGCTCGGGATTCTTGCCGCTTCTAGAATCAATGATCGAATAAGGGTTCTGTAATGGATAATTGGCTCCTGTGCACGTCAGGACCCTCGGATTGGACGCGAGGTACGAAGAGTCCGATTGACCAGGTACAGGAAATATGAAGGACATACAGTTCTGAGCGTACAATCTTCTATAACGAGAGTTGTAAAAATGTCAATGAAATTTTCAGAATTTAATAGTTGGTTTGAAAAAATATGTTTCTCAATTCACAACTAAATGACGATTTGTTGGAACAAAATCAGTTAAAGAATGTTTCATTGATGATTGATTTTAACGAATTTAATTAAAAACTGTTTACTTGACAATTAATATTAATATATATTCAATATATTTTATGTTAATATTTTTTATACTATAATATATTAAGTTAATTGAATGGTTGAATTTGTTGAAACCAATTTCACTTTAACGGCCTCCAATTGAATTAGCTCATATTAATCGTCAATTAAACAATTAATTAAAATAGTAATTAATTACTCGCAATCCTGCCTATAACTGATAGAGTTGCTTGTCATTGGATTCTGCAGTCTGATGGACTCGGTGTTATTGGTGAACGCCGACAGTTTAGTCTCAGACATATAGTCCTGCCTTCTATCTTTCGTCACGTCTGCATTGCTCTCCATTACTTTATTCCTCAGCTGGCAGAATTCAGCATTCAACGACGTCTGAGTGAAATCGAACCTCTTGGACGAGGACGTGTCCTTGGCGCGAAATTTGTTGCTCATCAGACCACTTGCGCTATTGGCATGGCACGCGGAGATATTGGGTACAGATTTTGTGGTGTTGATGACAGGTGACAAGTTCTCGGTGATCGTCCACTTGCTTCGCAATTTGCTCTCCTTGTTGCACGCCGAGTGATGTTCTTGTTGACCGGAATTGTACTGAAAGCTGAGCAGGCTACTCGATAGCGGTGTTATCGTCGCGTTATACGAGGCTTCCTGAGAAGGCGCTTTCTCGGCTGCGTTCTGCTGAAGAAGGGAAGTCACGGGTAACGGTGCGAAGAGATCGTAGTTTGTATAAAGCGACACGTCGCCCGGAAACGAGGACGAGCTACGGATCTCCTTGCATTTCTCGATGTCTGATGACGCTTCGTTGTTTTCGCTAAACTTTTCGAAAGTTTGCACTATTTGCTTCAGTAACTCATGCGTGTTTTCCTCCCATGCGTGAAAGCACGTAATAAACTCGGGATCCAGTCGGTCTAACAAGTTAGGGAAGTGTTGCTTGTTCAGGTAGTTGTCGAGACTCAGCCATCCGTTGCTGATGCGCAAGAGAGCGTTTATGAGGTCGTCGGCGAAAACTCGGTCTCCGGCAAACACCGGAATACATGTCGAAGATTTTGTGATCGCAGTCTTGGTGGCGGATGACAAACACGTTAACCAGTCCCGTTTGGGATCCGTTTGCATATTGTCGCAGCCGAGAACGATCTCAGCCTCAGTGCAGCCCCAATAAGCCGTTTTTCGGATCAGCTCTGGATACTGCGAGCTATCGACGCACAGGCCACCCGTTTGGACGCCTACCGATGTTCTGTTTTCATATTCGGAGCAAAAGTCGGTGAACCAAGCCGTCTTATTGGACACGTTGTCTCCCGCGCCGCTGAACAACGGCGTGGAGTCGATCTTGGTGGTTTTCGATTCCTCTTTGTTCAGGTCATTCGACGACGTGGTGTTGCACAGAGCGGAGACCATCTTTTCAGCCTCGATGGTGAAATCAAAACTGGTAGAGGACGCGTCGGAGTAATGCTCCTCGTCGGTTTTTGTGACGCTGGAAATAGTCTTCTGCAAGGAATTGAGGTTCTTGCTATTATTTTCAGTCTGTAGGTCGTAGGAATTCTTGGATATCTCGACTTGAGATGGCCAATCGCTGGTCGTCTCGTTGGCACCGATCGGGATGAGTCGGGATTCGCATACGCTGGGTGTCTTGCTCGCACTGTGCTTCAACGAGGGAAATTCCAGCGTGGGCAACGGCAAAGACTTGTCCCGCGACGAGGCGAAGACTAGACCTACAGGTGAACTCGAGAAGAGCGGAGAAGGTTGCACCGATGTTGGGAACTGATTATTGGTGAAGGTAGCCAGACTGCTGTAAGGACTAATGCTGGCAAGCGGGAAGGATGAGCTGGTGTTGACCGTTTGTAGGCTGCAGGCGTTTGTGGCCGAGATATTATAATAGGAAGCCTGTATTGGGTGTTGCTGTTGCTGCTGAGCATTCTGTCGGTCTTGGATGAGGCAGAAGGTTTGCTGCACGTCTGGTGGTTTAAAGTAGGGTTGTGGTAACAAATGCGTCACTCCAGAAGTATTGTTATAGTGCTCGCCGGACATGGGACCATGAGTGAACGTGGAGGAGGCTACTAAGAAGGACGTGGTCGACGGAGGGATCGCTGAAGGAACTTTGGCGGGATGTTGGTCGAGGAGCATCATCTTCGGGTAGAGATGCTGTTGCTGGTAATGTTGCTGGCCGTGAGACGACTTGTTTTTGGTATGCCATTGATTGTTCTTACCTACATCCATGTAAAATCTCGTAATCATTGATCCCTCGCATTTTTAAGATAGAAAATTCACAAGTTGGCTTACGCAACTATAATTATTTGGAATGTTTTTGCAACTCACTTTAAATATCTTTAATATCCTTAAAAATATTTAAATCTCTTTCCAGAAAACATCAAGTATCAGAAGCATGGTGTTAATTACAGTTAGGCCCGGTTGCACCAACGTCATTTTGGTTTTAAGCAAGACTTAAATATACATCTGTCTTTATTTATTTAGAAAGAAAGATAAAGATAGATATATGTTTAAATTTCGCTTAAATCCAAAATAATGTTGGTGCAACCACGCCTTAGTCTATTTCTCAAACCTGGAAGATGTATAGGGGCAGAATTCGACGACTCGACATGAGGTTGAACGGTTGGATAAACGCATGAAGGGTGAAGTGCTGTTCCACATGGCTGAAGGGTCACCATTGGTTTACTGATGGGAGCATACAAAATTTGTTGTTGTGGCTGTTGTTGGTAAACGGACGACGTCGTCGATGGGGTTGGGATCGGGGATGACCGAGGATGATGTAGGGATGATCGACTTGACCGTGCTGTTGTAGGACGCATGATCTGCTTGATCCTTGGATCAAAGCTGAATCCTCCGCCGTCTCCGTGTCGATGTTATCAGCTTCTATTAGATGACAAAAGTTCTGTCACTGTGTTATCAATAACACTATTAACCGTAAAAACATCCGATTTCGATTGCAGTTGGTTATGCTGTCGCACGTCAAATTGCATTGTCTCGTTACATTAATCGCGCGTTGGATATGTCAAACATTTAAATTCGTCGGGAAATAAATATTTACTTAATTAAGACCATAACGTCGTTGTGATATTATAACTTGTGGCCAAAATACATTACGCATTAAGTGTAATAAAATTAAAGTAACGTAATATTTAAAAAATTCTGATTTGATTTTATAGTGATAGTTGTTTATCTAAGCGGTCTGAACATAGCTGCTCCATCAACATATGATTGAAACGGGTCAATTAGCTCAGACTCAAACCCTATCTAGCTGAGATTCAAACCTAACCTGTAACATGTCTTTTCGCGGCGTCGCTAGATGGTACTAGACAGTCCGTTACTTGTCTCGAACCAGGTCTAGTAAATCGATTATTAGCTTCAAAGGATTCGCTGTGCGACAAATCTAAGAACTATAGGAGAACATAAATGAAAATAAGGAACTATAGGAGAACATAAATGATAATAATATATGACAAAGAGAATATAATATAAATAAAGAAAACATTTATTTTATATACATTCTTCCTCCACATCCAACGTATCCTCCTCATTCGTCGATGATTCACCTGTGAATTCCACTGTAAATACTGCTTTGCCAGAAAGACGTCTTTCTGCAATAAATAAAGCAACGAAGTCGTTAAATTTTATGTAAAATGTAAAGTTTATTATACTTCGACTTACCTGCTCTTAAAAGAAGAAGCTGAGATTGCTTTAATATAGCTGCTTTTGATTTTTCTTCGTTCAAACCCAATATAGATCCACTATATTAATTGAATAGTTATGAACAATATAGATTATATATATAAAGTATCTAGTAAAATAAATATTAACTGAATTGATTCCTTCGCTACATTACTTGTTATTACATTAAATTAAAGGATACAGATTTATAATGTCATAAGGGCTCCTAATACAATTGATATCGTTTGCACCACTAGATATAATCACATTCTGTAATATATAAAAAGATATAAACTAATGAATATTACCAACAAATATAAAATAAATTATGTGATATATATTACGTACTCACCTTGCTCTTACCGTATGTGTAAAACAAATGAGAATAATAAATAGCCATTTTGCGTGTCTCTGGTTCTAAAATGTTTGCATATTGTATCTCAAAAGATAAACCTCTTTCTACTGCCTGCTGATATAACTTTCTATTCAATTTTAGATTAGAAACTGACGGCCTTATCGTAATCAAATCTGCATTTATTTGTGTACATGCAAACTATAAAAGAAAAATAGACATAAGATGGTTATATACAAAGATTAAGAATGTTGAGAAATCAATTTAGAGCAATTTTTATAAAAAAAATAAATAAATGTATATTTTTATTTATACCAACCTGTAACATAGCTTGACTAATTGGCATGATGGCATACAAATTATATTTCTTCAGATTTGCGCAATGTGCCTATAATAATAAAATAACTATTTAATATCAACGTCAATATAGGTAAATTTTTTATTTTATTTAAAAATCATGTAACAGAAGTCTTGTAAATCTTGTTTTAAAAAAATATAGGATATTGGAGATTTATATATCAATATCAACAATAATGGTTTTGTACTGATGAGAACATACCAGTGTATGTGTTTTTATGGAATCAGAACAAATAAATGTTATTCTGTTAAGTATACATAGTTTTCCTTCAAACTCTTCATTCAGTTTAGACACATCGATTGGATCTGGCATCATACTTGGTAATTCTTTATTTTCCTCATTTCTTTTTCTCTTTTTCTTATCAGTATTAAAGACATTTTCATTTACATTTTGATTTAACGCTATAGTCCTGTAACCCACTAATATCACAAATTCATAAAGCAAGGAAAATATTAGGTCAAATTATTGTTACTATTTTTTATTTCACAACCAACTTACTTTGATACAATCTTGATAAAACTTTTCTTAAGTAAACAATATTCTTATTTGATACATTTATGCACAAATCGAAGAATCCATTACTCAGTTTAAAATCCATACCTGTAATGTACAAAAATAGCGTATAAATATAAGGATGTGTAACTAAATAGATAACTAAACTTTACAAACATTCCAGACCAAACGAGATCACACAAACACTTTTCATTTTATCTTGATAAATGCTTAATTAAGTATACTAATATCTATGTATTTACTACAAAATGTTCCAAAATGCTAAGCCAAATCACTTGATCAAAAAAGTATTATTGTTTAATTCTAAAAGAAGATAATAACAATATACTTAATAGACATTTTGGTCAAATTCTTTTATATACAAATAATTTTATACCTATTTTAATGTTTGGCACCGTATTTCAGTTACACCCTATATAACCTATGTCACATATAATGCGAATATAACACGTGCTACTTCACGTGGTCTTATTATTAATAATATATAATAAACAGTTTATTATCTTTCCAAGAACACACCAACACAACTGATATTCACTGATAACTTCCCTGGTACTGCATCGCAGTGACTATTACATAAAGCAAGAAAAACAAAATCCTATATGTAATAATATTTTATTGTTATGCGAACTACACGAACTTCCTCGCATAGGTTATCTCTACGATCGAAGAACTTCGCCATATTGCTGAGATGATACGCTCATGCGCCGAAGGCGCAGCTAAACGCGCGCAATTTAGATTCCGCCTGAATACTAAAGTGAGCGTCCTCGAAACTTTCATCCTCGAAACTAACTTCTTCGATCCCTTACATAGCTTAATTGCAACATAAACTTAGCTATGGAACTGAACTGAATAGAAGATGTTACACGAAAATGAGAATGCAGAAATTATATAAGGAGTATATGAAGATCTTACTCGGCACACAAATTAGAATGACATGTGGCTGGCATGAATAGTCATTACGGAATGATTGACTTGGCTACGAAACTATTTTTTTTACACTCAACACTCTCTGGAGGATGAGGTCAGGAATTGTATCATCAGCCGTTACACATCAAGGAAGATAAATTCACGCTCTGTTGCGTAATCTTTAATTGCCGAAATACAGATCACTTTCGCCGGCCTACCTATCGTTTGATTGAAGGATGCGCTTCTCCATTCTTTTCGAATGGAGAAGTAACCTTGTGCGTTTGAACTCATTTCGAGACGAACTATATAAAAGCCAGGATCATTTTTTGATTCGACACAATTCGAAACGACTTTGTCGATTGAAGATACCAATCCGAGCTTAAACATGATGTTCGAAGTGGGACTCGTCTTTACATTCACTCTTGCGAGTTGCATGGTATGTACCAAATTATTAATACATTTATTACTTTTTTTAATTACATTATAAATCATAGCATATACTGAATTTCAATAATGATCACCTCAGATCATCACAAATCAGTTTTTCTCGCAAAAGGCTAAATTTTACAACAATTCTATTACCAATTTAATAAGCCAGTTTGAAATTGAAGTCCAGCTAAAATCAAATAAACGTCAACAAGTTTAATTATTTATTTTTAATGTGCAATTAAACAAGAAGAACAAATTATAGAAAAATTTAATTGAATTTAACACAATTTAAAAATTATCAATATCATAATGTTTAAAGAAATACCTAATTAAAATAGATTAAAAGGTTGAAAGATAGAAAGATCTTTGAATGTAGGATAAATTATCCATAAATAATAAATATTTTCATGAATTCAAACTTCTCATTAAAAGAAACTTAGCTTTCTTAGCTTTCTTATAAAACAGTAATTCTATAATATATGTACAAAAAATACATCGTATTTTAGAAAATGTTACTTGTTTCGAGCATCAAATTTATTCAAAATAAATATTGAATCCTAAGTTTAGCATTTCAATCAATAATATTAAACTGAAACAAAAGTTTGGTTTGCTTATTAACCAAACTCTTCTGCAAAAAAGTTTTACAATGTTCTTCTAAAGAGAATAAATTTCTCTTTTAAGTACATGAAAATAAAGTTCCTTTTTTTAATTTTTATTACGAATATATTTTAAAATTATTATTAAGATAATGGTTTTTAAAGATAACCGTTTTTTAAAAGAAGGAGAATAAACTGTGCAATCGCTTTTCTAAGCAGTAGAATGACATTTTTTTCTGTACGTGTGTACACTAAAGCGTATTGTCATACAGGCGGAGGCGGGATATCCGAGTCTGCGTCCAGATGAGCAACTGCCTTACGATCAAGGATACAGCTATCAGAATCCGCACGATCAATTGAGCGGCGATGAGATACCTGGCGTGGCCGGCAGAGATTATCCGATCTTCCGTGAAGTTCCGCAAACGCGTTTCGAGTGCGAACAACAGCAATATCCGGGCTATTACGCCGACCCTGAGGCCGAGTGTCAGGCGTTTCATATCTGTCAACGTGGCGGTCATAAGGACTCCTTCCTTTGTCCGAACGGCACGTTATTCAATCAGGCACGACTGGTCTGCGAGTGGTGGCACACCGTGGATTGCTCTCGCGCGCAAAGTTTCTACTCCATTAACGAGGCGGTTGCAAAAGCAATGGAGGAAGCTGATAGGTGAGCACGCATTACGTAACGAATTGTTCAAAATACCTACTGTGCGTCCGCGCGGGCATTCGCATGCGATTACGTAATCGGACGTCTTCTTATCTTCGCGCGAGCCGGTTAAACGTGAAAAATGTTACGGCAATATCTGCCGACGAGCCGCGTGATCTTGATGAATTATTTCATCATAACAAAGTCGGACGATAAAGTCACGCGACCCGTGAATTACAAACGGGCGAACCATTTTTGTTCGCACAGCGAAGCAGTCGGATCCTGTCTCCCTCGCCTTCAGTTTTTGCCCGAAGGCTGCGACCTGAAGTTAAACGCTTGCGCGTAAAAAGTCGATGAATCAATATTTTCATGCCTGAACGCCGCATTTGTCTCACTAATTTACGCACAGAAAAAAAATAGTATCCACTTCAAACTAATACACTCAAATTAACAATCATTGTTTCATGTATAAGCAACGATATATAATTCCGTCAGAAAGATTTTACAAGTCTTGAATTTCAGGAGAATGTTATAATTTTATTTATTATGATAGTCTCATATAAACAGTACCAAATAATTATTTTAGTAACAATAATGTCTTTTTCCGGCATTTAAAAACATATTCTCAATATTTTGTGCTTTCCATTAGTGAAAATTATTTTATAAATAATGAGAACAGATTTTTCTTTGTTGAATATAAAATATATTCTTGTAAAGTAACTTGACGCTATGTAATCTCATTTGAAAGTTAACATGTCAAAGATAGGGATATCTTCCAAAGAATGTCCGTTTTTCCTGTGCGTACAGTCGCAGATGAAAAAGTTGTCCGCAATTTTTGGGATGAATTTACGAACTCTGCATCTTCCAATGGGAAAATCTGTTTCCTAATAGGAGAGTGCTCCCACTGGATAAGATAGATGAGCTCATAAACTCTCCCCGAAAGTTACGATACAAACCTTCATCCGCGACTGTACATGAAGTAACAGTTTTACCTTTCCGCCTGTCATAAATTTCGCCTCAAGTACTCATTGATCGTCGCGCCTGGAATTTTCGCACAGTTTCACCGTTTATTTTATTACACGTATAAATTTTATGACGAAGGCGCATCCAACTGGCTGCTGAGGAGAAGCTCTCCCGAGGCTACCTGCGTGAATCTAACGCTGGACATTGGAACAATCATAACCAACAGAACGCAAAACAAGGATGGAACGGCACCCCAGCTCGGCATAATGTGATGTCTGATTTCGCCAAGAATCTTCCCTACGAGGCACCTGCGACGTCGATTCGTCCTGTTTACGGCGCACCTGAAGTCTCCGCTAAATCTAACGTTGATAACGGACAGTGGAACAGGTACAATCAACAGAACGCAAAACAAGGGTGGAACGACACCCCGGCTCGACATAATGCAGTGTCTACTTTCGCCAAGAACCTTCCCTACCAAGCACCTGCGACGTCGATTCGTCCTGTTTACGGCGCACCTGAAGTTTCCGCTAAATCTAACGTTGATAACGGACCTTGGAACAGGTACAATCAGCAGAACGCAAAACAAGGATGGAACGACACCCCGGCTCGACATAACGTTGTGTCTGATTTCGCCAAGAATCTTCCTTATGAGGCAGCCGCAATTCGTCCTGTTTACGGCGCACCTGAAGTTTCCGCTAACTCTAACGTTGATAACGGACCTTGGAACAGGTACAATCAGCAGAACGCAAAACAAGGATGGAACGACACCCCGGCTCGACATAACGTTGTGTCTGATTTCGCCAAGAATCTTCCTTATGAGGCAGCCGCAATTCGTCCTGTTTACGGCGCACCTGAAGTTTCCGCTAACTCTAACGTTGATAACGGACCTTGGAACAGGTACAATCAGCAGAACGCAAAACAAGGATGGAACGACACCCCGGCTCGACATAACGTTGTGTCTGATTTCGCCAAGAATCTTCCTTATGAGGCAGCCGCAATTCGTCCTGTTTACGGCGCACCTGAAGTTTCCGCTAACTCTAACGTTGATAACGGACCTTGGAACAGGTACAATCAGCAGAACGCAAAACAAGGGTGGAACGACACCCCGACTCAACATAATGTAGTGTCTGATTTCGCCAAGAACCTTCCTTACGAGGCACCCACGAAGTCGGCTCCTGTTTACGGCGCACCTGAAGTTTCCGCTAACTCTTTGCCGCATGCGAACAACCATGGCGATTCTTATTCACAGGAAGAAAATTATATGATCACCGACGCCAAATTTGGCAAACCAACAACCAAGAGCAACTTTGCGGAACCGACAAACGTTTATCTACCTGCGTAATTCCTATACGGCCGAGCAATTTTCAGCATGCTATATATAATGTCATAAATATTCAAAAGGTATTGTGATTATACATTAAATTGTAATAATAAATTCACTTTATGAAAGACAATCGTGCACAGTGTACGTTGAGTGAAAACATTCTCACACTTAAACGGATTCTTATGACGCCTACGGAAAGTAACAGTCTAATATAAGCGCGGTGGAGTTGCGTAACCACATAAAACTTCAGCAGAATCCTAAGGATTCTGCCGCTCCAATTAACAGTTGTAGAACCGTGCTTATTCGAACTGTGTTTTTTAATCTTTCTCGTTTTACATAATGTATCCAGTCAAACAAGTAAACATGCTTGAGGATAAAAACTGTTGAAACGTCAGTCTTTCACTTTAAATCGTTTAAAATTTGTCACAAATTCTTCCTTTTAACTAAGCTATTGCTGCAAAAAGGAATATTAATTCGATGGAACTATTTTTCTCATTGTTCTGCCAGAATCGCTTGCTGGAACAGATATATCGGTATCCGTACCAATTATCATGATCGTACTTGTCGAGAGAGGCTTATTATCTAAAGTCATAATTACCTATTGATTGCATTCCGTAATAACTGAGTGGAATCGATAATTGGAGTATACGATAATTGATAAAATAATATTAATATTTATGAGAATCAACTACACAGGATAAAATTTAATAAGCATAATTAACCCTAATCTGACATACTGTGATCATTTCCGATCCCGCGCGATTTCTCCACCTGATTTTTAACTTTAAATTACCTGCAAACTAGTGGAATAAGAATTTTTAATTCACGCGCTAAAAATAGTTATAATTGCTGAAAATATAAGTTTAAATATAACTGAATCATTTTAATAACCTGTCATATAACAAAATGGCAAATGGTTGCTATGGAATCGTTTTTAATCCTAGCATACTAAATTAAGATGTCAAAGTATAAAATAAAGATAATTCTTTGTTATATATAATTTACAAGCTTTTAGTTTTATTTGCAAGAATAAAACTAGATAGTTTTAACATCAAATAAATGACGCCAGCAGGAAGCGAAAATAATATTTGAACATTACTCAATTCGCTATTCGAATTGGACTTCTTGTTCAATGTAAATGGATGGAACTCTTCAATCCGTTTATCCACTCGCGTTGTGCCTGTGTATATACATAGCGGTGGGCTACACTAAAGACAGCTTTAGCTTATAATATCACGATTTATGGACGAAAGGGAGAGCTTCTGCCGCTCTCGTCATCGACAAACGTGCGATAAATAAGCGATGACGCAAGCGCGAATGGATACGGCCGGTGTTTCCACGTCTTTGATATTTCCCGGATTCTATGCGAAAAAAGGCGAACACCTCGCGGCTCGTGAGCTCTAATTTTCTGGATGCAGTATCTGTCCACTACATCTCGCGTTGATCGGTCGCTGATTCCGCCGTCACGATCGTTCGCGCGAAGGTCAATCGTGACTCGCAAAGTGGGCGCATCCCCCGCCTCATATTCTCACGGCTCCCAAGTGGAGTCTTAATCATGGAATTCGAACAGACTGCGATTACAGACGTGACGCGGACGTTCGTTGGCCCGCGATATCACGCCGATCGTACCAAGTCCCGATATCGATATTCGTGCGCCTTTCGATTCGCGCGCGAGCGCGCGGGTACGCAATTCACACATGAGTAACGTCAAGCAGAAGGATGGACGACCTTGATCGAGCTTCTCGTTCTTACGTGCAGGAAATTGCGCACTGCACACGTCTGTTGCGATCGGAAAGCGGCTTAAAAAATGCCTAATTAGAGGCCGGTGAAATGCGCGAAGCACATTTACACTGTGCGGATAATCGAAGTCATAAGATCAATTAACTTGACGCGAAACTGCTAAAGCCAACTGTTAATTGTTTGCTTAAACGGTGAGGCAATATTAGCTTCTAAAGTTATGGGACGTAAAGTAAACCGATAATTTCTCAACTAGAGCGGTCCCACGTCGTAGCGTTTTTAATTAGCAACTCGCAAATGTTCTCTCCTTGCAAAACTGCATAAATTAAATATCAAAATATATTGTAAAACACACGTGCGCATATATGTAAATAATGCACATGTCAATAGTAAATAATAGCGTTACTTCATACTCTAATTATCGATTCTCTTCCTTGTTTATTACGAAATCCAATCGATAGTTAATTATGACTGAATAACAAGCCGACAAGTACGATCATGATGATAAAAGAATAAAACGAGGAATAAAGTATACGAAGATGACAAGGACGACTCGTTATCCTTCCCGAACCGCCGTCTGTCCACTGATGTAACGCAATTGTTGAGAGAAAGAGGCGGCCGGTTGATAATTCAGACCTTTCCGCTTTATTTGTCCTGATTTTGACGAAGTTTAATGGCACACGAACATTTGAATACACTCGGCATTCCCGAGTTCTCACGCTTATGTCGTAATTGTAATCTTTTCAGGGATTAATGTGATTGATTCGTTGCGGTAAATCACTTGGGGATTTTGTAAGCCTCTCCACCACAAGAGTCATTACCTTCGTTTCTTATGTTTCCCTTCTTTTTTCTTTCTTCTCTCCTCTTATTAACGGAAATTATTTATCGATGGGACAAAATGGCTTAACCGTTTCTTCTCACTTGAGAGCGGATCGTGAGACAGTTGTCGATGTTATACATAATACAATAAGCGCATTCCGGGCATATCCCGCGAGGGAACCAAGCGCGGCGCGGAGGAAAGCGCGATTGAAGTCTCGCCCGCGTGAGAACAAATTTGATGTAATTATCGCGCAGGCACATTATGTCGTCTCTCGGAAGAGCGCTATATAGAAATTCCATGCTAACCATACTTATAGATTTCTTTTTCCCGTGTTCCACGCGCGTCATAATAAAATGGATTAAGTAATGCGTTGCGCGAACAGCGCCTCTCGAGCTATTTAAAATTAATATTAACGGCGCCACAGTAGAGCCGAAGTAACGTTATTAACGCGAACCGTCCACCAAATAAGATTTTTTCTTTCGTGTTCTTCCCTACTCCCGAAATCAGGAATGAGCGTTTTGTACTAACGAAAAGTGTAAACGTCTCATATTCAAAGATATACGTTACTTGCGCGGGTGAACAATGATAAGATTACAATTGTTCCATTAATTTCCACGTTCGCCGTAGTGCGTTGTCTTATTCGTCACAGTGACGAGTGACGAATGCATTGGACACTACTGCCATGGATTATTATAATTGCGCTGAATTTTTCACATTTCGTGGTGTTGTATATATTTATTATAATCGTTGAGGCCTTCGAGAAAATCCTTAAAGTATTCATGAAACAGATGATCTCTAATACATCCAATCTCCCGCTAGATTTCATTAACGATTAGTTCTAAAGGAGCGAACTGTTTCGCAATGTGTGGATTGATTATCGCAATCGTATTAAATCGCTGATGGATCTCTCTCTCTTTCTCTCTCTCTCTCTCTCTCTCTTTTTCTCATGGAATAGACGCTAATACGATTATAGTTGATGCCTTTCTATAGGTGTTGGAAGAGACGTTGGATCATTGACGGATATTGCAAGCTATCGCATCGACACCGTCTTATAAAAGCGAAGGTAAAGATCTCCCGCAAATTTGTGTGTTGAGATTCATTTCGATAACGTTGCAGTCATCGCCGGGTCTTTTCAGCCGGAACTCAAGCGAGGCAATAATGTTCTTGCTCAACGGTTTTACGTTATATGGAATTTCCTAACGCGGTTGCTCAAAACAGGATTATTTCCTCGAGTGCAAAAAAAATTGTAGGTGAAATTAATTTATAATTTCTCTCGAATGTCAATGATTCTGTTAAGCAAACGCTTTACAACCTTTAGCGGAAAAATCGCTGTTTCACGATGTTGGCACGAAGAATATAACTATCTAAGATGGATCGATCGTATTGTATCGACGGAATCACTACTTCGCCAATATAAAAAATTTGGCGAGGACTCAAAGTGAAATTTACGTGATTGTATACTCGGCCTTGAAAGGGTTAAAACTTAGCTTTTGATGGAAGCAATTGCTTATCGTATTTAAATAAAAGAACTTAAATTTGAATAAATATGTTTTCGGCATGCACACTACGAATAAATATTTTTTATTTTTGAGATATTTTTCCTCTCGGTGTAGTGCAGCCAAGATTGAGTCAAGGAGAGAAAGAAGGAAGAAGATATTCGCCCTAAGGCCTCACAGCCGAGATCCTTATGGCTTTGCAAACAGAAATCCGGCTTGTCTGTGAAGTAAGTTGATAATTATGCTATGCAACTAGCTACTTTGATCGCGTGCCTGTCTTATGTGTCATCTTTGCCCCAGGACTTGTTAGTCCTGATACATACTACTAGCTTATACTAACATCAACACGTATGTCACGTTACAAGGCTTCCATTGTCGATAACTCGGTTCGCACAGCAGATTTGCGACGGTTTAGACGTAACGAGGTAAAATAATCATCATCCACGGAGCAATTTCCTGCAGAGACCGAAGAGCAGTGTCGAGAATAAAAGAGGAGAAAAGATGGGAAAAAATGTTACTGCGTCCTGAGCGGGATCAGCATAAAAGAGGAGGAAGGACATGCATTCGATCGTGAACGATATTGTACGACGGGATTAGAAGAAATCGGACCGCAGGATTACGTATAATCGCGATGCACACGCGGAGCGTTGTCGATAGTAGCCCGCTTTTGTCTTACCGACGAGTGAGTTACGCGCCGACCGTCTTTACGTCGCCCACGCGATGCAGTAACTCGCACTTTGCGGTGAAAGCCCCCGAGGAGGACGTGCGAAGACACGCCGTGTCACTACGTGTCCGATGATGATTACGCGACGATGCAGGTCGATTATGAATCTGAAACTAGGCGAGCAAAGGAGAAGTAGCTGCCTTTTGACGGCGTAGCGCTGCGTCATCCTAGGTAGGTCATGCGGAAAATTGATTGATAGTATACGTAACATCTCCGAAAATACGCTGACGGTAAGATTGATCGGAACGGGCATCGATCCAAAACGCTTCTTGGAAACGAAATTATTAGTCGGGTATGCAACTAGAATAACTTAAATAAACAACAGATTAAAACAATTATATTTTTAGGAGAAATTAGCCAGTAATTAAAAAAAATGTAAGTGTAAATTAAATTATATTTTATATTTACTAAGTTATATATATCTCAGACCACATATTTAATAATTATATTATTTATTAAATTATATTTTTAGAGACATATCAAATGTAAGTATAAATTCAATTTTATATTTACTAAATTATATTTTCTTAACACATACATACAAATATATATAATATATATGCATATAAATATACATATAAATCCATAATATCCATAAATCCATTAATATCGCGAGATTTGTTTAGTTCGGTCTATTTTTCCTCATTTGCAAGATAGCGTTCTCTCAACCTACCTAAAGTTGCCATTCAATTCGGCCCGCTCTTCTCTATCAAAGTATAATAGAGTCGTGATTTATTCCACTGCCCTACTAATGACTTCGGATAGCCTCGACATATCGAATAGAAAACAAAGCGAATGAGTTCGCGTTGCAAGAGCGTTTGCGACCTCTTCTATACCGCGGGCTATTATTATTTCCTACAGCTTTTCTGATATCATGTATAATTTATTAGGGACCACATCTCTCTTTCTCTCTATGATCAGGAAAGTTCAGACGTAGAAACCTACCCGCAGCTGTACAAACAAAATTGCTTCTGTAATCGCTTTCTTTACGCGCGGTGCAATCTAGTCTCGAACGTGATTATATAAATTCGCAAATTTCCTGTTATCAGAAGGATAATTCCCCACAAAAATTTGCTTCCAGATAAAAATTATCTTTTGCATTCGCATCGTATTCGGAATCACTACAAATTTTCTTAAAATAATAGTGAATATGCATTTGTTATCACGAAAAGCATATTTTCGTTCTACGATTATTTTGTTTTTTATAGTAATATTCATCAGAATATATTCATGAAAATTGGCCCGATTGTTGAACAAGTCCCGATCGGCTGGGAAAAATGGATCGACAGTAACGTCTCTCTTTTCCTCCTTTTAGCCAACTACGGGCGCAGACATCTTCACGAGAGATCTCCTCGCGATCTTTTCTGCCTCTGCATCCCGACGATCCTCATCGTCGGCTAGAGTAACGCGAAATACACAGCACTCCGGTAGACGTTACTCTACTTGCAGTATTTCACTTTCACTAACCCCGGCCTCCCACGAGCTGCTCATCTCCGCGAGATCCCCCGTCAGGGCCCCCCCTCTGAAGGAGGCCCCCTTCGGCCCCGCAGCGGGTCACTTACGTCGTCGTGAGGTCGTTCCACGGATGGCGCACCGCTTATGGGTAGTGATGGGCTCGCGCTAGATCCGTCCCCGCTATTTCGGACCCAACCTGCCGATATTTACTTTAAGTAATTACTTAATGGCGGGTCGAGAGACGAGGCTCGGGTCACCCGGCACACTCTTACTTTTAGACGGTCCATGCATACCGTATACAGTGAAGAGAGAAAGAGAGTTGCATATATATATATATATATATATATATATATATATATATATATATATAACCAAAATACATATATTTATATATAATATACTCCAAATCGTGCGTTGATAAAAATCACGTTATCACGTTAATACAAATTATTTTCAACTACGAGACACGAAATTCCAATAAGATTTGTCACATGAATACGTTATTAGTGAAAAAAAAATAAAAAATATCGTGTCTTAGATTTATGTGTATGTATTATTCTTTCGTCACAAGAGTGACACGAAATTTCCTTCTCGCTTTGACGGACGGAAGGGGTCAGCGCGAAGGCACCGTCCTCGTCTCTCCCACGTTTTCCAGGTGTGCGGACGATCCGCGCGAAAGGATCAATCCCATCGCTATTCGCGGTTTCGCGTGCTTCCCCACCTAGCATCCCGAGGAACAGAGGAAAAAAGGGGGCTCGATCTGGAGGAGGTCGAAGGATGAGCGCGAGCATCCCTGGTGGGGGCGTATCAGCACTCGGGGTGCTATCCAAGGATATATATGCCGACGAAGTTACTTCCACCATCAGTCACTGTCCTGACTTACCTGCACTGCGGTGTGTTTTGTACGTACGGATCGGTCGGGTGAGTCCACGACACCACTTCATCCCCCTAAGACACCATGATCGCGCTTTTGCCCGCTCGTTGCGAGTTCTCGCGTCTTATCGTACCGATTGAACCCCTTTTTCGAACCAGTGCTCTCTCTCTGTCTATTTTTTTCTGTCTGTCTATTTCTTTCTCTCTCTCTCGTACGCGCGCGCGCGCGTCCCAGGGACGTTATGTTCCTTATTGCTTTTTTTTCTTCCTTTCTCTGTGTGCATCATCAACGTGTGGCACCGATAACACGCGCGAATGACTCCACGAAGGTTCCGAAGTCCGCTGCGCAACGCGTACGGGGGGTTCGATCGAGGAACGATCGCAGTGTTTTGAAGTAATACGGTCAGTGAGTTCCATCCGAGCGTACCTCGAAGTTCCATTTTCTGTATCTTGTAAATATGATTAATACATCACCGGCGGGTGTATACTGTACGGAAATGGGCGGCGTGAGCTACGCGAGAACACGCGAGTAATCAAGTAACAATCGATATTTGGGATGTTACGTAACTGCGAAACATGGGAAACACGGTCCGGCAAAATTCTCCCTTTTCGGAATTACGACGTTAATACATTGCAATATTCTTACATGTCCACGGTCGCAAGACCCAATATCGACGGTTTAATTAAATTTTTACGAGCGAGATATCGTCATCTCAGTATTCTGCGCAAAAAGCAATATTCGTAAACTATATTATTAATTTCATTACTAACTTTCGATCAAATAGAACTCATCAACTATGCGTCTTCGTCTCGAGCTTGACATGCGTTTAATTTGCACACAGAACTTGACAGCGTACGAGAATGCATGTTTCCTTCCTTCCAGACAAAAACGCACTTCCGTAGAATAACAATCGTTATCTCGTGCACATGTTTCGCAAATCATCAGACCTAAGAATATAATATGCTCACTATCGCACATTGTGCACAGTGGAGCAAATAATCTATCGACGGTCGCGTTACTCTTTTCAGACTCGTCCACTCTTTTGAGGGTGCTCGCGCCAGCAAACATGCGGCCACGCTTGCTCTGGATCGGTAAGACCTAACTGATATTGATTGAGATATTCATCCCGCGGCACGGCTTCATCTCATATAATCATCCAATGTGGTAATCGAGTTATTGCATTAACATCTGCATCGGGTAAGCACATAGGAAGCGCCGGCGAAAGAAAAAAGAGCGACGCAAGAAAACGTGCGGCGGTGTCCGTCGGTTTTCCCCCCCCCGGAGAAAACAGAAAGATTAGCGGAGATTGCAGTGTCGAGGATAGGAAAAGAAAGTTCGCAGTCTGTGACGTGTCCCGGCGTCAAGTATAACCTTCGTCTCGATAATCGAAGAAGATGAAATGTCCCCAAGCAATTGTTGAGCAATCCCATTGCCAACTTTACCTACCGTTCTTCGTCGTATTATCGTGCGCCGTATAAGTTCTCACCCATTACACGCCACGTAATCAATGTGGCATTCTGCGACACTGCGCTCGCAGCGCTGCCTGCGTGTGTGGTAATTGGAGATTATTTGAAAGAACGAAAGAAAGAAACGCGACAGAAGGAGGAGAAGAAGCCGCGTCGCGGACATGACAATGTAGAGACATGCTCTGAGGCGATTTCTCAGATGAACATTAGATATCCCGGTGACAAGGAAGAATTCATATCTCTCTTCTCGCAGGATCATTGCCACCTCACCTCGCGTATAAAAATTGAGAGAACAATGTCTATCGAAAAAATGCTCATCGACTCATAATTGATTAAAGCATTTGAATATAATAGCCAATACGTGCACAAAGGTTAGATTTTTATCGTAAATTCCCCCCTTTTTTTTAAGAAACAAGATCAAGTGAAATTAACAACTCGTGGAACTCATGTGGCACTTTCAACACCTCAATCGCGACGTAATGCGCCAGACGGGTTTCAAATTCCGATGGAATCTTCGCGCAAGGTCTACGACATTTTTTTCGTAACATCCTCTAATTAAAACGAATTCGAGATAAGCGAGCGCGCCACGCCGCGGCCGGTCGGTATTGTTCCAGCGCACTTTTACGTATTACGGGGTCACCCTTTACGCTTACGATCATCCGTACTTAAAATAAAGGTCAAGTGTATGCAGCGTGCCGTGTTAGCGCAACTGCTATCGGCTTCCTTTTTCTCGTGAATCTTCAAAACGGGCAAACCACCACCAGAGATCGCGAACGTATGGGGAAAGCGGGCTCTCGGATAAACGAGAGGGATAATGGAATTAATTCGGAAATAGGTCAAACACTTTTCTCACTCTCAGTCAAATTCTGAATATTCAACGGCTCGTAAGTCTGCTCCGTTTATCTTAATTGGATCGTAACAACTGCGTGGAAAAAGCCGTGGACATCTTTCGCAAAGGAATAATTAGAACGCCGATGACGCCGAACGCAATTTTTTCTTCAGAGTGGGACGGCAAGTGAAAAAGTTTCGCTGAAATTCGCAGAAACGGTCGAAGCAGGGTTAAGCCGTTTCCGCCGCAGCTTCCCTTCGGGCGAGTTACGTCAATACTCTGACGCGATCATGCAATGCTAGTGTAACCACGTAACGGTCAAAGATCTTCTCGAACGATGCATCGAGTACCGTGCTCGGATTATCTTCGTAGATCACGCGAGGCTCGGCCGCATCTTGATCTCCGTCCTATTGTTTCGAGGTAACCAAAACCGAGGCTATCAACCGAGGTAATAGGAAGATGTAGGGATAATGGCACGGCGAGATATTGTTACTTGAAATAGCCTTTCAGTCAAATTGTGTGTGTGGTATGGAAATTATTGGCGGAAGAGAGAACGTGTGAAAAAAAAGAGTGTCGGTTAAATTGAAATTACTTCCAGCCTTTTTGGCTGGACGTTGCTTGCACGCGATATCGATGAACATGCAAATAGTTCTCCTTTTTCTGTCACACAAAGGGAAAAGAATGTAATAAAAATTGTGTTAGAATTATATTTCTTTTTACTAACTACTAAATTTTTTGCAAAATCAGCTGAAAATACGCTGAAATTTAAATTACAGAAACAATAAAAACGACAAATTTGATGATCTATCCTAGCATAGGATATAAAAATATTTAATTTTGTGTAGTAAAAAGTCAAATGTAGTATTTTTAAACAAATATACAATTATTTTAAACATGTTCAATATATTTTAGATAAATATATATATTCACTCATAATTCTCTGTACGGTTAAAGATTACAAAAATTTTATGATAATTTTTACTAAAATATTTTCCTCATAGTTGCAATTGACGATTCAATTACGTAGTCTGTCGAAAGGTCGTTACAAAATTCGGTACTCACAACTTTGCGATAAATATTGAAAAAAGTCATCAACAATGCTGTACACTAAAAAATTCATTTAGTTGGATTAACCAAAATTTGGTTAAAATAGGATCGAACAAATATTTCGGTTGTGAGGGCCAAAATTTCGTTCTTTCTATCAAAGATTTGATTCTCTGAAACTAAACCTGTTTCATTTTTGCTTCAAAGAATCAAACTTTTGGGTTAAAATACCAAATATTGGTTCTCACAACCAAAACATTTGTTCCACCTTATTTTAACAAAATTTTGGTTAATTCAATTAAGTGAGTTTTCCAGTGTAGGTGTCCATCTTTCGATTAATCTCTTGAACGTTGAATAGTCCGATGTCCTGAGATAAAACTAAGGCGATAAGTGAAGAATTATTGAAATTATCTAAGTTGTTTTCATAAACTCATTCATAAACGGCTGCCTCAACTCATACCGCTGAATGTATGTTTAGTAAAAAATGGAAAATAAAAAATAGGCGCAATAGCGCAAAATAGATACAAATTTATCTGAATTACTTCTGTGACACACCATGCGGTATTATTTAAAGCGCGGAGGTCGTGTCAATCGTATTTGCTAAGTTACACTCATTAATCCACGTCGAAGAGTAAAATCACCATTAAATCTTAATTTATCAACGTCAAATCGGCTCTGGAAGTATCAATGCCCGACTCGTTCGATAATTGCATTTATTCGCTGCGCATTATATTCTTCGCGATAACAGGAAAAACCAATCAAGATTTTTATAATTCATCCCGCCACTTCCTTTCATATCATTTCACATCATTTCCACGTCATTTACTGAAGCCGTTTTCAATAATCCCAGACGTGACGTTAGCATGTTGCCCAAGAGATTACAACATTCTGACATTTATTTGTAAAAATTAAAAAATGAGTTCCCCAAAGCGGAACTCACTTTTTTATAAAGAAAGTTTATTGATGACCCAGAAAGTACGGAGAACACTTGAATGCAAGGTTTTCTTTTCCATGATCATCACATGCAATCAACGCGAAAGATAGTTTCTTATTTGAGGGCCAAGTCACGCCTTGAAATATATTACATTTGACAAGTATTTGCCAAACTTCCACAGAGCTTGAGATCGCAATCTGGATCTTCTCGCATGCCCAGGAACCAGACTTCTGTATCTGCTTAACAAGTAGCTTGCGTGATTCGCGGACCAGCACGACGATGTTATTGCGAAAACGCGCACGGGAGTCTCTACAATTCTCGTGTAACACACCACGCACTCCTGAAGCACGTTCGTGCTGTGCTCGCCTCCCTTTCTCTCTCTCCCTCGCGCGCTCGCGCGCGACCCTTCCCTACATCCTTGTCTCTCTTCATTTACGCTTTTTGATGCGATTTACGTACGGCCAAGCGTGCGAAGAACTCCTAGCTTCTTCGCGCCTACGCTCTAAGCGCGCTCGACAATGCTCCTTAATTAATTAGACGGGAAGTTATGTCAGAGATTTTTCAAGACACATTTCTCTTCTGTGAGACTCGCACGCAACCTCCCGTCATCGCGACGAATTGCGGCGTTTGCTGGCGACGGCTGCGTAGGCAGGCATTAAGCCTTTGGCACTTGGTATAATCGTTATCGCGGTAAAAAAATCTCTCTGTGTGATAGAATTTTAATGAGATGTCCGTTGTGACCGTGCTAAATAATTCACCGCGGTACATGTCTGAAAATAACATCGCACTTGTTTGCACTTGTTTCAGTTTTGCTGGCTGTCGCTCGTACAGCTTTGGTAAGTGATTCCCATTTTAAACACTCTTATTATATTATTAGAAAATGGAGGCTTAAGAAAAAAAATTTACAACGTTTTTACAATATTTTTACAAAGATCTTGACAGTACTTTTATAAAAATTCACATCTCTTGTAAATCTAACAACTTATTGAATTTATGAATTTAGACTGTTCACTCTCGATTTCGTTTCCTCGCTTTCTGATCATTCTTATGGAGAAGCAGCATGTTAGCCCGCATAAATCAACACGGTGCAGTTAATTTAATTTTTTGCGACCAAATACGCTTACTCCCTCTTTGCCGCCTTGCAAAATAGCGTTTTCGGTTGCGCAAGTTTAAGCACTCTCATATTAATCGGTCGTGACTGTACTGTTGTAACCCGCACGATCACAATGATCGAGAGTACGAAGACGCTCCTTCGGACATTTCCACGAGCACGATTTCAGCGATGTCGGAATCCATAAATCTGATATAATTAATCGTTCAAGGGTATCGCGATCCCAACGGATGGTACAACGTTACACGGTACCAAATACACTATAACTATATACGAAGTAGAATGTACACAATGCTGAATCAATTAAATATTATTTGTATCATTAATATCGCGTAGACTGCTTAGAATTGAAATACCAATGACAATAAAATCTTGACAATAAAGTCATGAATTATGTTGTTGTTAAAGAAAAGTTCTATAGAATTAATGACAAGCGAAACTCATATTTTTATCGAGCGCTCTGTAAATATCTTATTTGACCTTGCAGGCTGACGAGGGATATAATTATCCTAGACCACCAACTCCTCTTATACCAGGTGGTCCGGGTGGAGGTCCCGGTCCTGGAGGATTTCCAAGTACACCCGGTGGATATCCATCTGGCGGTACACCTGGTGGTCCCGGAGTACCAGGCGGTCCTGGTGAACAACCTGGCGGACCTGGCGGACCGGGAAAACCTGGTGGTTATCCATCTGGCGGACCAGGGCCATCGGGCTTTCCAGGCGGGCGTCCAGGAGGCATTCAACCAGGTGGGCAGCAACCCGGAGGATTTCCATCAGGCCAAGGACCTTCTGGTGGATATCCAAGCGGGAGACCCTCAATTCCATTTCCGAGCGGTGAACCAACAGGTGGTGGATATCCTGGTAGCCGGCCTGGTGGCCAAAGACCAGGTGGTTTTCCAGGTAGTCAAGGGCCAAGCGGAGGATATCCAGGTGGACAGGCTCCTGGAGGTTATCCCGGTGCGGGACAGAAGCCTGGTGGCCCGGGAACTGGATATCCTAGTGGAGGGCCAGGCAGTGGTTATCCAGGAGGTGCTCAGAGACCTGGCGGTGGTGCAGGTCCTCAAGGACCAGGTGGATATCCAGGACCAGGAGGACCAAGCGGCCCTCAAGGTCCTGGAGGTCAGCAAGGCCCAGGTGGAACACCTACCGGCGGTTACCCTAGTACTAGACCAGGTACTCAAGGGCCAGGAGGCTATCCAAGTGGACCGGGTATATAAAACTCACATAGAGAATAAAACTTTTTTAAATTTAATATTCTGACAAAGATATAAGAAATATATTATAAATATAAGCTACACAAATATTGTCAAAGCTCTTTACTAGTTCCTGTTTAATCATTGAAATCGAATGGATAATTGTATATATAAATAGAAGAAACTATGAGAAAAAGCATGTATAAAGTTAAAAAATGCTTGTGATATAAAAAATGTAATATCGAGTTTCTTAAACTCATTTGAACAGAATCATCTAGATTTTTTAATGATATAAAAATATCAAGTAACACAATTTTCTTTTATACACAATTTTCTTTTAATTTTCTTTTTAAGGAATGAAATTATTTATTGAAAAATAAGACAATCATATTTATTGATTGAAAAATTAGTTTGGGTCACTCCAATGATTAAATGTATTCAAATTCAACAAAATTTATTGAATCCAAAAAAAATTTTTCCTTTGTACATAGGAGCTCAAGGACCAGGCGGTTATCCAACTGGACCGGGAGCGCAAAGACCAGGAGGCTATCCTAGTGGTCCAGGACCACAAGGACCAGGGACTCAAAGGCCAGGAGGTCCTGGCTATCCAAGTGGCCCAGGATCACAAGGACCTGGAGGGTACCCGGGTGCTCCGGGACCACAAGGACCAGGAGGTTACCCAAGTGGCCCAGGACCACAAGGACCAGGGGGTTACCCAAGTGGCCCGGGACCACAAGGACCAGGGGGTTACCCAGGTGGTCCGGGAGCACAAGGACCAGGAGGCTATCCAGGTGGTCCAGGAACACAAAGACCAGGAGGCTATCCAAGTGGTCCGAGACCACAAGGGCCAGGAGGGTTTCCAAGTGCACCAGGACCACAAGCACCAGGAGGATACCCAAGTGGACAAGGTCCACAAGGACCAGGCGGTTTTCCAAGTGGACCAGGTCCGATAGGACCTGGAGGACCTGGAGGACCTGGAGGGCCCAGAGGTCCTGGAGGACCCGGAGGACATGGACCCGAAGATACCGGAGAATATCATGGTGATGAAGGAACATACGACGAAGGCGATTATTCCGCTATTCCAGGAGAACCTGGTCGCGACTATCCTATATATAGTGACATTCCGGAGACCAGTTTTCGTTGCGATGCCCAACAATTCCCCGGTTATTACGCCGACGTGGAAACTCAGTGCCAAGTTTTTCACATATGTGCTAACAATAAGACCTACGACTTCCTTTGTCCAAACGGGACGATCTTCCATCAACAATTCTTTGTCTGTGTTTGGTGGAATCAATTCGATTGCAATTCCGCGCAAAGCTTCTACTACTTGAATGAAAATCTGTACGATTATACTATAATGGGAGCACCAGGTCAAGGATTTCCTGAAATTGGAGGACCATTAGGTCCTTCTGTACCTGGTACATATCCAGGTGGCCCAGGAGGCCCAAGAGGTCCAGGTGGTCCAAGTGGTCCAGGTGGTCCAAGTGTTCCAGGTGGTCCCAGTGGTCCAGGTGGTCCAGGATACCCAGGAGGCCCACAACGTCCGGGCGGTCCAGGCTATCCAGAAGGTCCTCAACGTCCTGGTTATCCAGGAGGACCTCAAGGCCCATCAGGACCAGGTGGATATCCTCAAGGACCTCAAGGTCCTTCCGGACCAAGCGGGTATCCAAGAGGACCTCAAGGACCTCAAGGTCCTTCCGGACCAAGCGGGTATCCAGGAGGACCTCAAGGACCTCAACGTCCTTCCGGACCAAGCGGGTATCCAGGAGGACCTCAAGGACCATCAGGCGGAATACCAAGCGGCCCAGGTGGATTCCCAGGACGACCAGGAGGTCCATCTGGTCCAGGTTATCCTGGTCCAGGACCACAAGGTCCAGGTTATCCTGGTCCAGGACCACAAGGTCCATCTGGCCCTAGTAGGCCAGGACCCGGATATTTAAGTCCTCCATCAGGACCTCAAGGACCTCAAGGACCTAGTGGCCCTGGATATCCTGGAAGACCTCAGGGACCATCTGGACCGTCGAGACCTCAAGGACCTAGTAGTCCAAGCGGTTATCCAGGACCCAGCGGACCAGCTCCAGGATATCCAGGTCAACCTCAAGGACCAGCAGGACCACAGGGAGGTCCAGGTGGCTATCCAAGTCCTGGTGGTCGACCGCAAGGACCTAATGGATCAGGGGGATATCCTGCCAACGGTAGACCAAGCGGCCCATCGTTTCCCAGTGGACCTAGTGGACCTAGTGGACCCAGTGGACCGTCCGGACCAGGAGGTATACCAGGAAAACCCCAGACGGGCTTACCGTTCCCGCCGCAGGGTCCTTCGAAACCAGATCGTGAGTACTTGCCGCCGAGAGCTGGATAATCATGAATCTAAGCGCTCCAGCCGGTATCTAACGACGACTCCCACCGTTGTTAATGCTGGATGACACGTGTAAATACGAGCCTCTTTACCTGTGTAATCTAAGTGATATCGGTTATCCGTATTGCATTCACTTCTACGTGTAGAGATTTCAATTATTCTGCTTGCGCGTTTACTCATCCTGAGGTTTCTGCGTATCTAATTAAAAGTTTAGATTGTTACGATTATCTGTTTCATCCATTTTTCACGCCAGGAAAATATAAAGTACTATTTTAAACAAAAAAACAAATTACAACGGTTTTTTTCTGTTTATATATATATTTTTTTTATTTAATTACGAATGTATTTTTATATTATACTTTAATTCACTTTAAATCTTTATATTACATCGTATTTTAGAAACAAATACGATAAACTTGACGGAAACCTTATGATGGAAGTACGAGTAAATAATATTAAGATATGTACGCTGAATGTATTCTTCAACATTCAATTTAATTCAATTAATTATAGCGAAATCAAAAAATGTTAATGTGTTAAATACTTTCGATTTTTATCAATTATTATATACACAACTGCATATATATACACAATTGAACGTTACTTTGAAATTTGTCTTTATAAAATTGTCATCTGTGCAAAACAGTGAAAAGACTCTTATTAGTATCAGCAATAATACTATTAGTTTCCAATGTAATAATCATGAACACTATTATCGAAATTAGCAGATGAGTGTTGATGGAATACATACAGTTTGTAGGTATTACAACGCGACGTATTTATTTATTCAGCTTTAATAAAAACATGATCGTTACCATTACGAGTTTACTATCAAAAGAGACAAATCAGCCGTCATGCGGATGTCATCGATACACGAATTCCTTTACAATTAGAATTGTTAACTGAACCTAAACACATGCGTGAAAGTATAATCAAATATTATATGTTTTAAGGCAACTCTGTCTTACACAAAGTGTCATAATTACACGCAATTTTAAAGCAATCATTCATCGCGTAAAGCCTATTAAGCGCAAAATACTGCCAATGGTAAAGCATGTACAATGACATTTTTAACGATTTATGTGACGTACTTCGTTAGTATAATTCGAGAGAGAACTGCAAGTATACTTGTAAGATTACAATAGTATTCCTTAGGAAGTAATTTATGAACGAATCATAGGATATGAAAATTTCCACGACGGAGATATATGTTCTCGTAAGAACATTACGGGCAACCACAAGACGTGGAGTACATCGGACATGCCCTTCTGGCGAAAGTAGCGTGATCTATTCTGATAAAATTTCGTCCACGAAAGGAAAGCGTGCACTATTGTAATTGCTTGTGCGATTGAAGAATAAACGGTGAGAATCCGATTACTTCCGAAGAGCGTATCATTGTCACATATAGTTAAGCAACGCATGACATAATTATATATACATATACCTATATTTTTTATAACAATGGTTTGAGACTCCTACGTGGGATGCCATTATGTATATTTTATGCGCGAAATAAAGGAAACACCTTTGCAAGAATAATGTTGTCTCTATTCACTATACGTCACGCGGGTTACTCAAACCCCGCGTGACGAGCGCACACACGCGTTACTACATATTGCCTTTCCCTTTCCCCTCATTACTATAATTAGTCATTTCAAATTGTTCGCGTCGGAGGAGGTTACATAAATTCGTACGCGGTCTACGTGCGATCATCGTTTCGCGATTTATAGTTGCGTGGCTTTCGCAACGCGCCGGCTCTTGTCTCTGCTAACCTGCTGCTCGCGCGGGGAGTTATTCGACGGGCAAATGATTTTGCGGATTCCCATGGCAGTGACGTTACATTAGATAAACGTTGCGCGGATCGCCAGCGCGGCTCGGTTCGCGCGTATCTCAAGTTATGGCTGTCTTCTGAAACGCGCTGACAGTACGTGCTGCTAAAATCGACGTGTTCTCCGAAGTTGTCAGTAGACAATATGGAAAATCGGAACGCATTTTTTAGTACCACGCAGTGTTAGCAGACAACGTGAACGAATAATCAACTTACAAATAAATAACCTACTAAAAAAGTGAAGACAGTTAAAATAAAGACAGTGTGAAAATAAATTTGTATTTATAGTAAACCTTATAGTAATATCAATTTTTTAATTTAGCTCATCTTTTTTATATTTTCTGAAATTTTGAAAATATAATTGTTATAATATAAATTGCTATAATATAAATTAAATATCATTAAAGTTTTAAGTTTATGATAACTTGTGATGATTTTAATAACTTTCTTTCATTCTTTGTTTTTTTTAACAGTTGTAGAAGTTAATAATTGTAACTTGATAATATTTTTTGATAATTATATCTGACAATAGAAACGTACTTAATAAATATTACTTTAATTTCCATTAATTAATATACATTTCATATATATATTTTTAATATATATTTTAATATATATTTCAATAGGTTTTTCTGTCCTCTTATTTTCTCATATAATTCTTACTTTTTAATTTAAAGCCCAAGTCGCCATATACTAAATTTGCATTACCTTGGGATTATGTGCGGAATCAGCCGGAAGTCAGCAATTTCTTAGGACCTACTTTCGTTAAAAAGATGGTATAACTATTCCCTTGCATCACTCTAAAAACAATTTCGGGGCGCAAGAATAGTACTGTCGGTGCTTTCAGCGCATTTCGGAAGACGACCTATGTCTGACATGGATAACTGGGTTGTACGAAATGTCTCATCCCGCTCGCCATGTCCCGCGTCCGCAGTCGAGATTGTTTCAGCCACGAAGACGCGCCGTCATCCCGCAGCCGAGCGTAGGCAAAATGACACTCCATCATCGCCAAGGTATCAGGTGCGATGGAAGTGGACGCGCGTAAAAAGCGCGTCGGCGCACACATACGAAAGTGGCAGCGAAACGGCGGGACGACTAGGTTGCGTTATCGCGCGAATAATCAGCCGCCCGCTGCCTGATACTTCGTAATGAAAGGAGTTATATGCAAAGCCAATTAAACTTCGGTCTGGAAAACGTAGCTTCGAGCGAGATAACAAAGGTCAATGGCTAATTAACATCGAGTGCAAATTAAGTACATAATTTGCACCCACGCACTCGTTCGCGCGCGCGCGCGGGCGTTACTACGTTACAAACGTTTTGCATACTATACTGTAATCGGTACAAATGTGTTTTGATAACGAAAACTACAACTAACATCACTCGCACACAGCTGCACGGCGCTGTAAACTTTAACGTCACCCGAACGACACAGTGCATAAATTGTATCGTCACCGTTGAAAAATATTTTAACAGGAAGCATCTCGGCTTCCTCTCTCTCTCTCTATTTTCAGCAAAAACCCAAAAAGAGGAAATTATATTTCAATACAATGAGAGAAGAAATATCTGAAAAATAAAAGACACTTATTCGGCGTGAGTATTAGTAATATATTTACTTAAATCTAAATTCTTTTAAAATTGCTATATTTCACAAATAGTTCAGAGAGAAATTCTCTCTCTCTCTCTCTCTCTCTCTCTCTCTCTGCCATCTGTATCCATTAAATGCAAAACGTATGCGATATCGCAGAGTTTGCTAGTCATTTATCCACCTTAGCTAATTTCAGCATGTCTAGATCATGTTCGCTATAACAATTTATTTGAGCGTGCTATTAATTGCAGGGGAGGAGATTGCAAATTATCCTGAATTTCACGTTGATTTCAGGACTTATTTAAAGTTAACTTGGTAAATTAATTTCGCAACTATGCGCCCTACAAAATATTCGCCAAGCTGGAGATCTACGAGTTTGATTTCAACTCGGTCGAAGGAGTTTTTGTCGTCGAGATTCGCTCCCTCGAGAGGACGATGCGCGGCGCCCAGAGATCGAGGAATAAATCCTCCTTCTTTCTCATCTTCTGTTACATTAAGAAATAATCAAAAGGTTACAGAATAAACGCGCGGTGCAAGTTGAAAATGTATAACGTAACACATTATGAATCACCTCATGAATACATAATGGGCGAATCTAGTACGAAGCGCAAATTCGGTTTCGTCAGCGTGTCTCGCGGCGAAGGTCCCGCAGAATATATACGTATATCCGCGGACGGTCTCGCTTGCACTTATTCGGTGCAACGCGGCGAGGCGCGATACGACCGTGTGAAAAATGTGGAAATTAATGGGAAGGCGCCGCGCGCTCCCTGTAAATTACGGTCCCGTGACGCAAGGCAACCTTGAATGGCACGCGGACCATCTCGCTTGAAAAGTAGACCGTTAGAACGGCGATAGTGACGGATCACCTGTTAACAGAGCTGACTTACGGCACGACCTTTCGCAGCTGGTGCCGATTCCGTCATAAGCACGTACGTGGCGTTGACTATTTTCGTTGCTGTGCGCCGCGGGCAAGCCTAAACGTACACAGTGTATCTTTACCTTCGTTTCTCTCTCTCTCTCTCTCTCTCTCTCTCTCTCTCTCTCTCTCTCTCTCTCTCTCTCTTTCTTAACCGTCATTACCGTATGTGCAGTTAATTGGCGTGAGTAATTGAGCTCACCTATGCATAAAAGGAATAACTGACGAATCAGTCAGGCAAAATAAATCCTATTCAAGACGATTATATCAAGCAAAATGCATGATATCGCGGTGTTCTCAATACTAAGACTTTAAAAGCGTATTTGCATAATGCTTTTTCACAAAATCTTTTGTGAGAAAATCTTTCAAAAAAAGAACTGTCTGAGAAATAATGAAATATTGGATTGTGTAATAAGAAGTTGCGAATTCTTTAGATGAAACGGAATGTTTGTATTTTTATTATGTTATAATTTTTTGTATATGTGCAAAAAATGACAGAAAATCATAGATCAAAACATCGCGTCTCTTATTTCATAAAATTACACGAAAAAACAAGCGTTCCATTTTGTCGGAAAAATCAGAAATGATTTATTACACAAGCCAATGTTATAACAATAAACACCGTCCGAGAAATAAAGACTGTTATAACATGAACTGTCTGAGAAGTAAAAGAAAATATTTGAGCAAAATGTTCTCATAAAAAAATGAAAAAATACAATGAGGAAAAATATCTAAAAATAAATTAATTAAAATATCTAAAAAATATCTAAAAAATATTTATTAGGTGGCTACCATTAATATATTTACTTAAATCAAAATTCTTTTTATTTAAATCGACCATTGTTCCTCGGTTTAAGTAATCACACACATAATACTTGGTTTAAATAAAAAAATTTTTGATTTAAGTAAATATGTTAATAGTACCCACCTAATAAATGTCTGTTTATTTTTAAATGTTTGTTTCTCAGAGTAAGATTTCGTAAACTATCCTTTAAGATGTGATTAATTTCACCTTGGAGAATAATAGATGTACATCGATCATGAAATGAAAGGCTAAATCTGATCCTTATTTGCTTGGGAGATCACCAAGAGGACGCCGTTCTGGAGAATCAGTGCTTTTGAACTTAGGACGAAAAGTATTAGCACGCGATTGCGGCACAACGCTCGTTAGTCGTAAGTGGAATTTTTAAGAATTAATACGCCTTGCGCAACAGCCGCGCGCGCACTCAAAAAGTAATCCTTTTTGCAATTTGCTCGAGACACAGCCTCGAGACGCGCGCGTACATCTCGCGGGGTATCGCTCGCGATGGGCACGCCGACGGAGATGCAGCGATGACGAAATTTGTCAGCTCTTCAACTACTGGCTGCATTATTACATCTCCGTGATACGATACGGACGATGAAATCCGCAGTCTCTCACGGGAAATAGGACGAAAAACGGCGGGCAGCAGATGGCAGCGCGGCCGATATTGCGAGGCGCGATTTATGCAATTTCTGTAGATTGTAAATTGCAAATGACCACGTGTATCGCGGGGCGGAGGGAGGGGACGGCGGAGGGATACGTTCGGTTAAGGCAACTCGCCTTTGTAAATTTTACGAATCGCGCTGCAAAGCGACATTTGGCCTACAGGCGCCGTCGTAATCGACAGTTCGGCTCTCTTCCTTCTCCAATGGAGATGCGACAGAATAAAAAATCCACGGTACCAGATACCGTTCGTCGTTACACAAGCCGTCCAGTCATCGCGCATAATGATGCACTGACCTCCCGATTACGGATTCCCTGGCGAGCCACTTGAAACTGCTTCTCGGCCAAATCAACTTTCCTCGTTAGGATCACAAGCGTTTTGTTAAGGAGGGAAGCACTTTGTAATCGACGACATTAATTTGCCGTGCAAACGATTCGGCACGCGGTGTTAGCGCGAAATAAACGTTGAAATCGACTACGTACGGCCATAATAGGACACTTGTGCTCCGGGCAGCAGCACGCAGTCAACACGCACACACACACTCACGCACACACATACCGGCATTCACGATGGCGGGTGGTAACATTATGATGAAGCACGATCAGAAAGGCCAAACGGGTTCCAATCGGTGCGTGCAACTGCAAACGTAGCGCAACGCAAGGCAACGCGCAACCGGTTCGTAGGGTCAGTAACCGTCATTGTCAGGGTCGACCGCGG